GGCGAATCATACCGTGGCACCTTTGTGAGCCTTCAAGGCGCAAAGGAGCCAGTCTCTTTTAGACTTCAGAGTTCAATGCCAATTGTCAGAAGGCCGAGCCGCGCTGTTGAAACACTTGGGATTCATCCCATTAGGTGTTAAACCCCGGGAGGAGCACGGTTACCCAAGGGCCAGGCATGTCCCCGACCCTTGCTGGTGGGTTCGTGTCCATCACACGGTCTCTTCGTACCAAGGCGACCTTTGAGGATTCGCGATTGCCTCCCGTGGCTTACACGGCACAAGGAGGGCCCACAAAGCCGCATTGAAATCAGCACGAGGGCGCCTCTGGTAACCGTGTGGAGGCGATCCTCATGATAAGCTTTCGTGACTGCAGGAATCCACACTCGTTGGTTCGTTCTTTCGTTAAAGTCACGTCGGTAGAAATCGAAAATAATAAAACATCACGACGTTTCGATCGCGACACAAGCGGTCGTCCTCAGGCGGAACAAATAATCCAGCGGTGGAACTACTGAACCAGCGAGAGAGATGTTACAACAATGTTATATACACACAGTTATAAAAATATATATACAATGTGTGACTTCTGGAGGTGTTCTTTAACAACAACAACAATGGCAATACTCTCGACGGCGGCGTGAGGCCATCGCCGGTCGCAGGGAGGCCCCCCCGAGATGGTTCGACGTTTCGTCGTCACCTCCTCGTTGATGATGGTCGCATTGCTGAGGGAGCGCAGGGCCGCGGTGATCTTCCTGCCGAGGTCCGCGAGCACCATGCTGCCTGCTGCTGTGTCTCCCCCGCGTCTTTATAGCAGTGCGTCTCTGTCGTCTCCCCCGTGTCTCTCTCTCTATCGCTGTGTGTCTCTGTGTGTGTCTCTCTCTCCGTGTCTCTGTGTGTCTCTATCGCTGTGTCTCAGTGTGTGTCTCTCTATCGCTGTCTCTCTCTCCGTGTCTCTGTGAATGTGTCTCTATTTCTGTGTCTCTATCGCTGTGTCTCTCTCTCTCCCTGTGTCTCTCTGTGTGTGTCTCTCTATCGCTGTGTCTCTCTCTCCCTCTGTCTCTCTGTGTGTGTCTCTCTATCGCTGTGTGTATGTCTCTCTATCGCTGTCTCTCTCTCCCGCTGTCTCTGTGTGTATGTCTCTCTATCGCTGTGTGTCTCTCTCCCTTGTTTCTCGTTATTTCTTCGTGGTCGAGGAGCCCCCGGCCCAGCTAAGCAACAGCAGGCGGCGGTTGTGGACGCAGCGCTTGGGGCCCCAACTCTCCTTGGATCGATTCCCTCCCCCGGAACGATTCGGATCTCGGATCGATTCTTCTTTCAGAATGAGAATATTGTATTTATTTATACTGAAGAAATCCGATGAGCTCTAAAGCGCTTCCCCCTCCCCCCGCCACCACACAGATGTTTCCAGCAGGGGCACGTCAGGTCAGATTAAGTGTGTACAGGGCGATCCAGATGTCTTGTGACTCTCGTTTCATTCTTTAAAACGTAAAACAAAGTAAGGTTTATTTCAAATATAAATTAATATGCAAATAGGATTTTTAAAAAATTGTGTGTGTGGGGGGGGGGGTAATTAATTGGGGGTCACAAGACATCTGGACCGCATGTACTTATCCGTACAGTAATGTGCATTAGTGTCAATCCACTGCTGGATGAGGGCCTCCCCCAAGGCATGGTGCGGGTCAGAGGTTGATGTCGTTACGTGCCACAAGTGACTCGAACAGGAACAATTTGGTTCGTGGTGTTATAAAGCTTTGTGACTGCAGGGATTCATATTCTTGGAAATAATGTTTTATTATTTCCCTTCTACGTGACTTTACCGAAAGAACCAAGAATATGAATGTGGTTCGTGTTGTCACCGTTCGCCGTGACAATTCATCTATCCATGTCCACACGACGAGTCTCTTCCTTGAGTTGTCATTTGTGGCCATCTCGCTTCTAAAAAAGAAGCACGAAGCTCAAGTGCGCTCTACTATATTAAAACATATTTTTTTATATATATACTTTTACTCATTCATAACTTTTTAAAAGTTATTGGTTTACCTTTCTTATACTGGAATTTTTGCTGTGTTTTTTTCCTGGATTTTCAGTTTGCACAGTCACTTTAAGATGTTTTCTTGTTCATGTTTTTGTTGTTTGTTGCGGTTTAACCCGATTCAGGAGCCGAATGGCTCACAGGGCTATACCTAATAAATGAAACTTGAAACTATACTTTGCACTCCTATCGTGGTGTTGTATTATTTGTTGCAACGTTCTGACCCGCGCCTTCTGGATGCTGTTAAAGAGCTTTACATCCCATCGGATTCCTCCAGTATGAATAAATATTCCATAGCTGTCAACCCCATACGGTTTACCCCGTATTCTTGTACAGGGAAATTTAGTTTCAGGTCCATACGGCGTGCAGCCGTTTCACTAAGGGCAAAGCCATTGTTTTATCTATTTGTGTTTCTCCCTTGTGATTGGACTTTGTAGGATGAACTTTGAGATTTATAAGGGCCACGGGGTGGCCAATAAGGTCTGAGTTGGTCTGCTATAAGGTCGGGCACTGATAAGGGGTTGACAGGGATGATTTTCTGATCCCCCCCCCTCCCTACGGCAAATCAATGAATAGCCAAGATGTTTGACAATGAAGATTCGATTCAAGAATTGTATCATTTTTATTGGGACGATGTGAATAAATAAGAATGTGTTTTACCCTTTCTGGCAATAAAACAGGAGTTGTGTTAAGATGTTCAAACACCAAATAGAAACCTTTTGCAAGGAATCAAGGACTGACTTAACCACAGAGTACTTGTGGCGAATATTCAAACAAACATGCTCTGATAATACAGTATATGGCATTGTCTATACCAGAAACATCAGCCTTCTAGATTTGAAGTTTTCGTGACTGCAAGGATCCATACTCTTTGGTTCTTTCGGTAAAGTCACGTAGGTGAAAATAATAATGTTTCTATTTGGTGGTTTCAACATCTTACCATTATTTCTTGCTGTGGCTGTCCTACCTGATGACGGAGGCTTGTGTTGCTTCCGAAACGTCGTGATTTAATTTAGTTATTTTTATTTAATTTTTATTATTTTATTTTATTATGTTTTATTCTTTTTATTTTCACCTACGTGACTTTACCGAAAGAACCAAAGAGTATACATTTGCTTTCTTTATGGCCTAGTCTCACCAATGTCAGACCAGAGAACGTCAACAGACGAACAGCACAAGGGCAATGCACTATCAGGGCATGTAGACATAGCTCTGGGTGAGCTGCTACAAAATGGGAAATGTTTTGCCAGTATGAAAGTATTAAATTATAATAATAGGTTTTTACCCTTTTTGGCAATAAAACAGGCGTTAAGATGCTCAAACACCAGATGGCAAGCTTTTGCAAGGAATTAAGTTCGCATTAACCACACAGAGTACTTGCGGTGAACATTTAAAATGTTTCTATTTGGTGGTTTGATCATCTTACGACTTTTTTTTATTGCCAGTAAGGGTAAAACCTATTTTAGTTTTTTTTCATACTTTGATACTGGCAAAAAAGGTCCCATTTCTTGAGACAATGTTGAACTTCGAATCGATCCGTGAATCGGGAAGTGTGAATCGAGTACACGTCCGAATCGATTTCTGCCTTGTGGTGGGAGTCTGGTTGGGGGTGTTTCCGTCGCCTTCCAACGTCATCGGCTTCCGGGTCAAATTAATTAAAGGTTCCGAGCTTTAATGGGGCCATTACCTTTCATATTTTTTTTTAAGTCAATGCTCTTGCTGACCAATTAGACGAATAAAACGCCGAAAACATTGAGATAACCATTCGTGAAAATCCGTTTTAGTGAGTGTCACCCACTTTTTTTTCACCGTCACATGTTAATTTCCACGCGGAACTCAATATCCGAGCGGGAAGAGCTCGGGGGATTTCCGCTCTGAGCGGCCGCCGATTGGCTGGTTAGCGAGGCCACGTGTTCCTTCCACGCGTGCCACGTGGAGCTTCCACGCGATCACTACTCAACCCGTGCACGGCGGAGGCAACGTTGTTGTTGGTCGAGGTGTGGAGTGCGCCTGCCAAATAACGAGTCAACTCGGCGGCGTGTTTAACAAGCCTGCCCGCCGATGAGACACAGGATGGTCGAAAGCAGTCAAAATATCAGAATGTATCTTTATACTGGAGGGATCCGATGAGCTATAAAGATTGTAAATATTGTGGATTTGCTCTCCCAACACACCGGTGTTGATGTACTAATAGCGAATTGGCATGTTCTGTTTACGTGACAATCCTTACTAATTGGCTGTATCGGGTAGTGGCGAGTTTAACGCCACATTTACGTGATCTAACCCAAACACCCTATATTATGAGCTATAAAGCTTTTTCACAGATGTGCAGTACAGTAGTTCTCTTGATTAAAGGCCGCTATTGGGTTATATTGATCTGAAAGTAGCCCGGTGGATAAATTGTTGGTGTGTAGACGATATATGCAGTTACAAGCACTACTAATCAGAGCTGTCCGCTTATGCTGGTGGCATTCAGCTCACCGTGCAAAAATCCTACATTGTCCCTTTTTGTGGACTTTATTTAAAAGTGGACTTGAACATGACATCTTGCTAGAATGATTGGCAACCAAGAGATACATCCACATCGCAGGCTCATGAACTATGTAAACATCCTCCGGAGGCCTTCATCCAGCAGTGGATTGCTCATGGCTAATATAACTATACTTTTAAGTGCAGTTTTCAGCCCATCTACGTGGAAGTCACTGCTGCTCAGATTCAGGGATGTCACTTGGCCAGTTCTGGAGTATGCTGAATTTGGAAATGTTTTATAATTCATGATCTTTGTACAGCAGGAATGGCTTGAATACCAAATTAACTTACTCGTCATACACTTAATTTCAACATTTATACAAGCCATGTCCAAACATTAAAATACTTTTCAGGACAATGTAAACTTGAGTTGTGCAAATATTCAGCGCTTCCAAGTTACCGTGTCAATAATTTTCCAAAAATTAAAGATTATTTTAATATCAATGTTTAAACGTACAACTTTAATACATCTTTCATACAAAATAAATTATATTCCATTTTAAATAAAGCTTCCCAGATGGATACATTCGGGTAACTAAAGTAATGGTTGGCAATGTACAAGGAGTTTGTTAACAAACATTACGATATGATTAACTTTGGGCATTTTGTGACACGAAAGTAGTATCTGAACTTGACCTGATATTTTACTTTTCTTAAAAATAAAAAATGTATCACATGGTTTGCACAAATTTAAATCATGGATTTTGTTAACATTCAAATAAATTACATTTTGCAATAAAGATCGCATTTATAGACTAATTTCAAAGCAAAATGGAGACATTTAAAAAATATATCAGAATGCCATCCATTCTGTCATGTAGACGCATGTTTCTGGAGAGATGTCTCCGCCTTCGTGACATTCATGAAATATCTGGTGAAAATGAAAACAGTCATTAAATGCCATACTTCATGCATCTGAGATGTGTAAAATTCTCATTGACAAAGATGTGGTCATCTATATACAGTAAAACCTTGGATTGCAAGTAACTTGGTCTGCGAGTGTTTTGCAAGACGAGTATTTTTTTTATAAATATTAATTTGATAAATGAGCGAGGTCTTGCAATACGAGTAGTACGTTCTGTCTGCCGAGCGTCACGTGATCACAACTGATATACGAGTGCTTTGATATACGAGTGCTTTGATATACGAGTGCTTGGGATTACAAACACGTTTCCGGAACGAATTATGCTCGCAATCCAAGGTTTTACTGTATATAAAAAAGGAAAATGTGTGAATACGTGTGTCTGTTTGAAATGTTTAGCATACTTACCGACATGCAACAAACTTGAAATTTGGCATTTGGGTAGCTTCCAGACTGTACACAATGCAAAATGTATAAAACTAGACTTTTGTATTTTGGGGGACGGCGCAATGGATATATTTTGCACTGCAAGTGAGTGGTGACGTCACATCTGTGATGTCACCCGCATGCGGCAGCGTCACGCAGTGTGCCTGCTGACGTCACGCATCCCCCACCCTCCGCGTAGACCGTGTACTAATCCAAGACAAGAATCCAAGTCTCGGGCGAAGCCGGGTAGTAAAGCTAGTCTGGTTATAAAGTCAAAAAATCTATGGATATGACAAAATTTCTATTTTTTAGGTTACAGCCACATGAGGCCTTCCACTTGATATACAGTATACCTCTTTGTCCATCACTGCAAGCTGCTCAATTCGGTAACTATAGAGCATAGTTTCCACTTGGCAACACTGGTTGCCATGAGCTTGGTCAATTTATTTGTGTCTGAAAGAATCTCTTGTGGTGATATAAGTGACTGAGATGTGTTAATATATGGCCTGCCAAAGTATCTGAAAGTTGCGTTAGGCCCTCAAGAATGAAACGATTGATTCCCCACACCTATTACAAAAGTTGAAATTGGTTTGTGAGCATGGCAATACTTACGGGGCAGACACCACACGGTGTCCGGACAAGCCCTGTGGGAGGCACCAGTGGGTTGATGGCACGGAAAAGTTTTATGTACCCATCGACACATCCTACAGTGCCCTCCTTCGCAGACAAAATCGTCCTTTCTACCTTCCCATCGTAAATAAGCGTGTTCAGAATTGTCTCCACATCCTCCATTGAAAGTTCCACCTGCCAGGCAAAGCAGACAGTGATGCATCTGTCAACCCACATCTTAAGCACATTGTTAAATGCTGCAAAGAGTCAGAATTTACTGCAGAATAAAATATACAAATGTGTGCGAGGTGCAATAAGAGACCTTGCTAATGCCGAGCTCACAGATGTATTTCCACACTTCATGGGAAGAAGCGTAAGAACTGTTCCTTTGCAGCAATGGCCCCTGCTTGCTCTCCTGGGCTGCTTCAGCCTACCGAAACAAAACAATTCAAATTACACATTCTACAATACGGAACTGATTCCCCAGTAGATGTGATCGAATGACAACTACAACCACTAGTTTTGCACAATATGATCCACATTAACTTACATTGATGTTGCAAAATATATTTTTAATCTGTAAGTTACAGTCAACTATCAATTTCTCAGGGTAATATTAGGGGGTCCAGATAAAACAATAACATACAAAGGTATATTCAAATTAGACGACAGACATTATTTTACCTTTGTAGAATAGGCGTGAAGATATCGAATGCATTGTCTGTTTTTATTGTTAAGAGTGCATGTAATCGGTCCCTAAGTGTCACGTGAGCAGTTAATCGTAGAACCAGCATGTGTGTAAAGGCAAGAACGAGTGTGCAATGCCACATTTTCTACGTTACCGTCGTCACAAGCCCAGTTAATCTGCAACCCGGACAATGGACAAATGGAAAGTCGAGAGTTAACTGTAGTTTACTACTAGTGATACATGCTCCATACCTTTTGCTGCAAAAACTTGCAGCACTGCTGGTTGAGGATTTCCACAAACTCCGCTTCAAAATCTTGATCACTGTACCAGGCACCACCAGTTACAGATCGATCCGGCTCAATGTTGTACAGCATGTACACCTTTTTCTTGGAAGCCTACATAATGCACAAACATTTAAAGTTATAGAATTAATATGCACGTGATCGGTTACAGCACAAGTTAACCGACTGAAATCTCCATTGCGACTGATGTAATAACTCCCCTTTTCCTCCTCCCCCCACTAGTCTGATGCATTGTCTAATTTCAACCATTTATACTGCAGCTACTCTCTCGCTTGTCAATTCTTGTTTGTACTGCCTTATTCATTCCCACCAATCTTCAAATTATATAATTTGCGTAAACAAGTCATTTAAATAATTGATTCTTGCACACATCTTGATACACATGTATTCTGGGCCCAAGAGCTGATTTTAATCTGATTACATACCTACTTATGATAGCATCCTAGCAGGTAAAAAGTGTTAATGAGTTGCATATATTGGCAGTATAAAACATTGGACATATTTTTATGGTGCATACATGTTTACGGCAATGACGTGCGTTTCAGTCATTTCCATACCGCAACAGATTTGACTGCTTTGATGAGCTTCTTGCTTTCGAGACTTTTTAGGATTTTGTTAATCTCGGTCAAGGGCAGGTTGCTCTTATACCTTATATCTCTGCTCCAAATCCCTGCGCAGGAGAAACAGAGCATGCCATTTACATAAGTGACTAGATTCTTCATCTTTATTCACCACAGTATGTGGTTTCAGACTGTCACTAAGAATGGAGCCTTTGACGCGGAATCATATCTTGTAACGTGCGATTACATCCTTACCTTTATTCCCAGCATCTTCTATTATTTGATACACGAGCTTTTCCTGATTATCGGCTCCTTTCACTTTGCTGCAATGTAAAAAAAAGAACTTTCTTTAAAGAATGCTTCAGTGACGAAATCTGATGCAATGAATCACAAATGTAAATAAGTTGAAAACAAAACCAAACAGTACCTGGCAGCTTGAGCATCCTTAAGTCTGTAAAGTAAACCTGCATTGCTTCTTAGTAAGTCCAGCCGGCCCTGTGTAAATAATACTTTCAGATTACGAAGGCAATGATAAAACAAATATATATAGACACATACTATACACCGATATTCTACGTGCAAAGTAGATTGTTAAATATTGAATACACGATCATGCAGTAAGACAGCGAGGCGGTTCAGCTGTAGAGTGAGCGGCCGGAATTCAAACTCTAACGGACAAACAAGATTTAATATGATGTAGACACGGAACAATATGCTCACTACTTGAGAATAGTAGCACAAGACAGAGAGGAAAGTGTAAACAAATGACAAAATGGGCTATCTGCCGATGGATTGTGACGATACCGATGATAAGACACAAAACTAATTGTACAAATTTGGTAGATCACGTATGTGTGTGTGTTGCAAACGCGAAACTAAAGTCACCGTAGAGAGCAGACGGTTGATGGCCATGGCTCTCTGCTGGGGCTCCAGTTGTGGCATGTCATTTTGGATCACCTGGTCCGTGATGCCATGTGGGAACTGCTGGCACAGCTCAATTATTCTGAGAACGAAGACGGCAATTGGCACTAGCGTTATTGCTCCATCATCACCATGGAGTGTCTGCATTGTAAAATGTAAATGAAAGAGAAAAGATGACTGAAATGCATTATAAAAAAGGCAAACAGTCAAATGATCCTATGCCTGAAATGCCACACGCACCGTTGTGGAAAACAAAGCTTGTCGGTGCCGAATATAAAAAGCAGTCGTATTGAATTTGGTTCCGATTGAGCCAAACTCGATGCTATATTTCTCCATTCTTTGTTCTTGTCGTCTTGTGGTTGTTGTTGTTTGACTTGCATCCCATTGGGATTTTTGCACAGCGTTGATGTACGGTGCTTTTTTATCTGGTTTTTTCCTGGATTTTTCTGTTTGTGCAGTCACATTAAAATGTTTTCTTGTTCATATTTTTGTTTTTTGTTTGTTGCGGTTGCACCCGATTCAAGAGCCGAATGGCTCACAGGGCTATACCTAATAAATGAAACTGAAAAAACTGAAACTGTCTAGTAGTGGCCTACAAAGTCTTTGATTTAATTTTGCCATCTTCCTCCGCTGTCTCCCTCTCCTTTTTACCTATCTCCATTCCACAGTTAATTTTATCTCTCATCTCTCGACATTCTTCTCTTGATGCGTTCTGCCCATTTCCAATTTGATTTATTTAGCTTTTTTTTTAGTAAGATCACCAGTGACGACTGTTAACCTTATTTAATAATTAATTCATTAACCTCTCTACAATATAAAGTACGTTTAAAATACTTTTCTCCGGAGATATTTGGCAAGCGTATAACTTTCTTGGCTCGGTTTATTACTTCCCTTCTACGTGACTTTACCGAAAGAACCAAGAAGAAGAATACACCCTGTTGAAATTAACACAGCACCCCTTATAAAAAGGTACATCGTAAGCTTAAAACAAGGTAAACAGCACGTATTCAAGTGTTACTACTTTATTGTAAACCTCAAGTTTCAAATCCATCTTGTTTAACCGGGTGAGAACTAGGGGGACAAGGTTAAATTAGTCTCGTCTGTAAGACTGATCTGGGTCACATTTGCAAAGCTGTTTGTCACCATTGCAAAGCTACACGCACAAACCTTTTGCTTGAATACTAATGGGTGCTGTGTGCGTTAAATGCATGCATGACCTTCCAGCGATTAGCGGGAGTGCCCCTACTGACTGCTTCATGTGCACTTGATTCATGCTCACCAGAGGGCTCATGTATAGAACTCTTGATTGGTGCATCTGCTCAATTAGATAATGCAATGAGCCCATCGTTCATAAAATGCTGGATGATCTCAAGACGTCACCATCTCTCACGGACCAGAGATGAAACGGTCCATTTGACTCACTCATGAGCTTCATTGCTGCTGCTTCATCTCCGCAGTCGAGTGTGCTCTGTTATGTCTGCCACTCCGTCGTTAGTCTCGACCGCCACGTTGGCGAGGTGTCATTTCCAAAACCTGATGATATGCAAGGAGGTCCGTGGGTTCGATCCCAACCCTGACCGCTTGCTGTATATTTGGAGTTTGCATGTTCTCCCCCGTGATGGCGTGGATTATTCTCCGGTCCACCGGCTTTTCCCTCCACATTTCAGAAACATGCGTTTACATTATTTGTCTGCAATAGATGTCCACATAAGCCACTTCGTTGCGCCATCATCTCTGGCCAGGTCGCTTCTGAAAAAAGAGCTGCATAGCTGTGTGCCTTACCTAATACAATAAAAATAGTATAGTCATCGTCCCTTCTAGCTATGGCATGTCCTGACCAAACTCAGCCTTCCTGACAATTCATTGCCTCTTTGCTTGCTTTCTAAACTAAGCCTATCTCGTTCTCTCGGTGTCACTTTAAGCGTGCGCCTGAACATTTCAAACTGTTCAGCTTTTGTTCGATTTGCTTTGCCTATATACAACCACGGAGTGGGTTCAAGTACTCGAGCGAGTCTACGTTCCTATATAAACCGATAATAAGTATAACCAGTAAAAACAAAGTTTTTCACTATAAATCCTTTATATGCGTGGCGGCTAGAGTCCTCTCGTCCTCTGGCTTGAGATGGCTGCCACCTATGGGTCAGATGATTGCATTGCACCATTAAGCAATTAATAATTAAATATATTTTTGTCCTAAAAAGTGTAAAATTTTGGAAAAAAAATTTCACGAACATTGTCACGCACAACGAGTCTGTGTGGAAAATGTCAGCTCGATTGGATCACGGGAAGTGGGTTAAAAAACGACCGAAAGATTTGCACGGTCCTAAGCAAGCAAGCGAACTTAATATAAAGGATTTAAAAAAGCCAACAGGTGGATGAGCTCCTAGTCCAGGTGCTCTCATTACGTCAACAGGATGCTGCTGTTTACCCACAAGCATGAGCACGCCTCGGCAGTCGATCGGCAGGTTGATTGCGGCCACGTAGCGTGCGATTTTCCCCACCTATTTATTATTCCAAGATGCCTAAACCACGGTAATGTTGTTGAACTTCTTTCGCACCGTACGTAGCCACCCGTGATGATCGGGGGTGCGGGCGGGGGGGGGAGAACAAACTGAACGCAACAAACAGTTCTAACGAAATTAGTTTCGATCTAGATTTGGCAGAGGAGTTCAATGGCCATTTAGACAAGCAGGCCCTTCCGCTAGCAATGCGACGGAGCAAGCAATTGCAGGGTTGCGCCTTTACATAAATAGGCGCAAGACATGTTCACCAATTTGCTCAATGGGTGGCCCGTGTGTTCGACCCATGTGTGCCCCGTCCAGCAACCCTGGTGGGGGCACGTGGGCGAGTGGATGTAGCCACTGCTCTTCTCCAGCTCGGTGCCTCTACCTGCTCTCCAGGTCCACGGCGTCGGTAGCCTCTTGCTTCACCACCACGTCCGTCATTGTCGCCTCCACGACAGCGAGCGAGAGAGAGACGAAACAACCTCAAGCCTGAACCACGCGCGGGGAATAGACGCCACTCATCCCGATGCTCCACGGCGACGGATCGATTCGTGGTCGCCGACTCAACTGAACGCACGTGTCGTTCGCGCGTTATGTCAAGCACCGATTGATTACGGTTTGTGGTAAAGTTGCGCCAGATGCACAGTTGACCCGTTCGGTGTGAGAGCGAGATAATTATAATGACTTAAAAAAAAAAGAGACCGAGCGAGGCGAGAAACTTAATCTCGCCTCTTAAATGGAACGCAGCGGATCGCGGACTCGAAACTTCGATGCACGAGAACCAGCTGACTGGCGTTACGTCACGTCCGGTGGCACCCCACCCCGCGTGCCTTCGTGTAACCCCTCCCACCCCCCGTGTAACCCCTCCCACCCCCCGTGTAACCCCTCCCACCCCCCGTGTAACCCCTCCCACCCCCCGTGTAACTCCTCCCACCCCCCGTGTAACCCCGCCCACCCCCCGTGTAACCCCGCCCACCCCCCGTGTAACCCCGCCCACCCCGCGTGCCCCCGCCCTCAAGCTGCTTCCGGCGGCCATATTACGTGAGGGGTGGGAGGCGCCAAGCGACGCGGGCGTTCTGCGTTCAGCTTGGCGAGGCCGTCTGCACGTTACCCCCGCAGTCGACCACGCCAATAGGACACAGCAAGCAGCCATGTCCCCGCGAGTGTTCACAGCACAACACTGAATACATGAAGCTTGGTGGCCTGCGATCCCTTACAACACCGCCCGCCCCATCCTATGTTTTATTTTGGTGTTTATTGTTGTTGACGGTCCTACTCGTCCCCCTCTCTGTACGTCTGAAAAAAAACAAAATCTTTACAAGCTCATCGGTTTCCTCACGCAGTTCAAAGTGAGCGTTCCGATTCCATCGGCGTGACACGTGAGCGCACCAGAACGCACCAGCCCCCTTAGCAACGTGGCCGCTGGTTGCCGTGCGCACGCGTGACGTCATCAACCACGACGGCGTCGTGACGTCACGCGTCGGCGTATCGCGGCTCGCGCCGATGCCGCCGGCTTCCTTCTGTGGCCGCTGCAACAACAACGGCGACGACGACAACAACGACGACGACGGCGGCGGCTATCGACACAAATACGTGGCGACGGTAACAAACTCCACGACTCCCGCGGTGCCTCCTCCGCCGTCAACTCTCTGCGCGTGACACCGGCACGCGAGGCACTGCGCGCACGTGCGCGGGACAGTGAGAGGCGGCGAGTCACGTGACGGGTTCTCGCTTCCCGGGTGAGGAGGAGGAGCAGGACGCGATCGTCAAGCCCGACGTTTCGCCGCCAGGCCCTCGGGTAGCTCTCGCGTTGCACGTAAGGGGACCCTTCATTGTCTAGAAGGTGGGGTTTTTTTTTTACGACGCGTCACCACTAAGCCTGGGATGTCTTCATCTAGCACTTGGGTGGCTTTCATTTAGGACCTGGGACATTTTCTCGAGGAACTCTTTCAGAAACTGGGATTTCCGTCTGGAACCAGAGACCTCTCCTCTAGGAGCTGGGACATTTTCTCGAGGAACTCTTTCAGAAACTGGGATTTCCGTCTGGAACCAGGGAACTCGCCTCTAGGAGCTGGGACATTTTCTCGAGGAACTCTTTCAGAAACTGGGATTTCCGTCTGGAACCAGAGACCTCTCATCTAGGAGCTGGGACATTATCTCGAGGAACTCTTTCAGAAACTGGGATTTCCGTCTGGAACCAGGGAACTCGCCTCTAGGAGCTGGGACATTTTCTCGAGGAACTCTTTCAGAAACTGGGATTTCCGTCTGGAACCAGAGACCTCTCATCTAGGAGCTGGGACATTATCTCGAGGAACTCTTTCAGAAACTGGGATTTCCGTCTGGAACCAGGGAACTCGCCTCTAGGAGCTGGGACATTTTCTCGAGGAACTCTTTCAGAAACTGGGATTTCCGTCTGGAACCAGGGAACTCGCCTCTAGGAGCTGGGACATTTTCTCGAGGAACTCTTTCAGAAACTGGGATTTCCGTCTGGAACCAGAGACCTCTCATCTAGGAGCTGGGACATTATCTCGAGGAACTCTTTCAGAAACTGGGATTTCCGTCTGGAACCAGAGACCTGTCCTCTAGGAGCTGGAACATTCTCTCGAGGAACTCTTTCAGAAACTGGGATTTCCGTCTGGAACCAGAGACCTCTCCTCTAGGAGCTGGAACATTCTCTCGAGGAACTCTTTCAGAAACTGGGATTTCCGTCTGGAACCAGAGACCTCTCCTCTAGGAGCTGGAACATTCTCTCGAGGAACTCTTTCAGAAACTGGGGTTTCCGTCTGGAACCAGAGACCTCTAGGAGCTGGAACATTCTCTCGAGGAACTATTTCAGAAACTGGGATTTCCGTCTGGAACCAGAGACCTCGCCTCTAGGAGCTGGAACATTCTCTCGAGGAACTCTTTCAGAAACTGGGATTTCCGTCTGGAACCAGAGACCTCTCCTCTAGGAGCTGGAACATTCTCTCGAGGAACTCTTTCAGAAACTGGGATTTCCGTCTGGAACCAGAGACCTCTCCTCTAGGAGCTGGAACATTCTCTCGAGGAACTCTTTCAGAAACTGGGATTTCCGTCTGGAACCAGAGACCTCTCCTCTAGGACCTGAGACATCTTCTCGAGGAACTATTTCAGAAACTGGGATTTCCGTCTGGAACCAGAGACCTCTCCTCTAGGAGCTGGGACATTTTCTCGAGGAACTCTTTCAGAAACTGGGATTTCCGTCTGGAACCAGAGACCTCTCCTCTAGGAGCTGGAACATTCTCTCGAGGAACTCTTTCAGAAACTGGGATTTCCGTCTGGAACCAGAGACCTCTCCTCTAGGAGCTGGGACATTTTCTCGAGGAACTCTTTCAGAAACTGGGATTTCCGTCTGGAACCAGAGACCTCTCCTCTAGGAGCTGGGACATTATCTCGAGGAACTCTTTCAGAAACTGGGATTTCCGTCTGGAACCAGAGACCTCTCCTCTAGGAACTATTTCAGAAACTGGGATTTCCGTCTGGAACCAGAGACCTCTCCTCTAGGAGCTGGGACATTATCTCGAGGAACTCTTTCAGAAACTGGGATTTCCGTCTGGAACCAGAGACCTCTCCTCTAGGAGCTGGAACATTCTCTCGAGGAACTCTTTCAGAAACTGGGATTTCCGTCTGGAACCAGAGACCTCTCCTCTAGGAGCTGGAACATTCTCTCGAGGAACTCTTTCAGAAACTGGGATTTCCGTCTGGAACCAGAGACCTCTCCTCTAGGACCTGAGACATCTTCTCGAGGAACTATTTCAGAAACTGGGATTTCCGTCTGGAACCAGAGACCTCTCCTCTAGGAGCTGGGACATTTTCTCGAGGAACTCTTTCAGAAACTGGGATTTCCGTCTGGAACCAGAGACCTCTCCTATAGGACCTGGGACATTTTCTCGAGGAACTATTTCAGAAACTGGGATTTCCGTCTGGAACCAGAGACCTCTCCTCTAGGACCTGAGACATCTTCTCGAGGAACTATTTCAGAAACTGGGATTTCCGTCTGGAACCAGAGACCTCTCCTCTAGGAGCTGGGACATTTTCTCGAGGAACTCTTTCAGAAACTTGGATTTCCGTCTGGAACCAGAGACCTCTCCTATAGGACCTGGGACATTTTCTCGAGGAACTCTTTCAGAAACTGGGATTTCCGTCTGGAACCAGAGACCTCGCCTCTAGGAGCTGGAACATTCTCTCGAGGAACTCTTTTAGAAACTGGGATTTCCGTCTGGAACCAGAGACCTCTCCTCTAGGAGCTGGAACATTCTCTCGAGAAACTCTTTCAGAAACTGGGATTTCCGTCTGGAACCAGAGACCTCTCCTCTAGGAGCTGGGACATTTTCTCGAGGAACTCTTTCAGAAACTGGGATTTCCGTCTGGAACCAGAGACCTCTCCTATAGGACCTGGGACATTTTCTCGAGGAACTCTTTCAGAAACTGGGATTTCCGTCTGGAACCAGAGACCTCGCCTCTAGGAGCTGGAACATTCTCTCGAGGAACTCTTTTAGAAACTGGGATTTCCGTCTGGAACCAGAGACCTCTCCTCTAGGAGCTGGAACATTCTCTCGAGGAACTCTTTCAGAAACTGGGATTTCCGTCTGGAACCAGAGACCTCTCCTCTAGGAGCTGGGACATTATCTCGAGGAACTCTTTCAGAAACTGGGATTTCCGTCTGGAACCAGAGACCTCTCCTCTAGGAGCTGGGACATTATCTCGAGGAACTCTTTCAGAAACTGGGATTTCCGTCTGGAACCAGAGACCTCGCCTCTAGGAGCTGGAACATTCTCTCGAGGAACTCTTTCAGAAACTGGGATTTCCGTCTGGAACCAGGGACCTCGCCTCTAGGACCTGGGGATTTCTTACCCGTTCCGCCTAGGATCTGGACGCGCTCTGCTTTAGGATTTGGCATTTTTCACCACAGGACTTGAACCTGCTCGTCTAGGACCTTGGGATTTTCCCCTTGGATTTGATACCTCTTCACACGAACTTGGGATCGATACGAGCCAGATCGCCTAAGACCTAGGAACGCTTATCCAAGATCTGGGAATTGGTGTCCCAAGTACATTGTGGGGCCCCCTCAATAGTTTCGTGCCTTGTAAGCGGCGGGACATGGCTGGACCCTCGCCTCTCGCAGTCCCAGAAGCTCAACATTAAGCACTACAGAATTGGAGACCTCTGCTCTAGTCCTTGAGAATTCTCGTCCTGGATCTGGAACCTCATATATGAACCTTGCACCTCCATTCTAGGACTTGAACACTCCACGACCAAGAGTCCTCTCATCTATGTCACCCCGTACGTCGTACCCCATAGTTCTATGGGATCTGTCGTGTAGGACGTGGACCTCTCATATTTGGAACCCTGAAATCTGTCTTCCAGGATCAGAGAACTCATCTCTCGGGAGCTGTAACAACACTAGACTCTGGACTCTCCACCACTCACCCCGGACCTGAGCTCACGCCTTCTACCCGGGAACCAGGGCCGCTGCTTCCGAGCTCATAAAAGCCGCCCCATCACCGCACCAACATCTCCCGGGGCCTGAGCTGCACAGCGGAGCAACAAAGCACCTGGGCCGCTCCCCCCCCCAGGAACCGAACCAGAGTCGTACTCTTCACTAATTCTTCCTCCCTCTCCACTACATCAGCAGCCGTGGTTTCAACCACGTCCGAACACGGGTAGATACTCATCCTCCTACTACTCTCTTCCTCCCTCTTCACTTCATCAGCAGCTGTGGTTTGTTGTTGTTTGACATGCATCCCACTGTGATTTTTGCACACAGCGTTGGTGTACGGGGCTTTTTCTGCAATATTTTGCTGTCTTTTCTTGGATTTTTTGTTTGCACATAGTCACATAGTCACTTTAAGATGTTTTCTTGTTCATGTTTTTGTTTTTTGGTTTGTTGCGGTTGCACCCGATTCAAGAGCCGAATGGCTCACAGGGCTATACCTAATAAATTAAACTGAAAAACTGAATCATCCTTCCTCCTCTCTCCTCCCTCTTGACTACATCAGCAGCCGTGGTTTCAACCACGTCCGAACACGGGTAGATACTCATCATCCTCCTCCCCGCTTCATCTCTCTTCACTACATCAGCAGCCGTGATTACTCATCGCTTGCACAATTAGAGATGTTCAACCTGCCGATGTGTGTTAAGGATAAGGACATTGTGCTCTTTGGCCTGGCTTAACAGGTACAACTCATTCCTTGGGCCAATTTACATTTTTCCTGTGGAGTTTATTATTAAACTGAGCTTACCAACTAAGTAAATGTCGACGCGAAAGAGGCTCTTGGCAATTTTGTGTGGGTAAACGCCAAGAAGCTGTTGTGTATACTTGCTGCCTATTCGTGAATATATGATTGTTCCTTTTAGGGGGTGACTTTATGATGACATCTGACATGTGACACTGCTTTCAAAATAACTTCAAAGTCTGCCAGTTGCCATACAGTGGTACAAGTCAGAGCTTGTGCTAAATGTTTTATTATTGCAGTGGTTTAATGTACATTGACAAACTATAGAATGTTTCATGCGTCTTCAATACGTCTAGGCAGAGTACATGTGTGCATGTGCTTGAGATGAAAGAAAGAGTTCTTTTTACTTGCCTAAGCTATTTGGAAGTAATTTATTGATAATATGTGTAATGCTTCGCAAATGGAATAAGGTGGAAATCGTTTGTGCATTAACTCTGCCCGTACATAACAGGATCTTCTCTACTCGTGCAAACACAACCCCGTATAAACCAAACCTGTAGTGTAAAGTTTCTGCTCCCAGTTCGCAAAGTGCTCTCTTGACAGCTACACAAATTGATCAAAGGCTTTGCCCAACACTTGGAGATGAGACTGAAACCAAAGCAGTAAGGACTATTTGCGAATTCAGGATACAAATTGATATTACCCCTACAGCTACCCATCGTACTAACGAGCATTACACAACCGACACGTGTGCAGAATAATTTTCACCAGCTTGTTATTTATTCCCCCCCCCATACCCACGTCATTGCAGGCATGTTGGCTTCAGCATCCATATGGCATGGAGCAACATGAACTTCCGCCAGCGGATGGGCTGGGTGTGCCTGGGTCTCTACATGCTGGCCAGCCTGGCGCTGGCACACTACATGTTCGACGTGAGCGACTCGTACGGGGCCCTTGCCCTGGACCGCGTGGCCTCCGAGTCCGGCGCCCACGCAAGAGGCAGACTCACGTGGCTCAGGGACGCTCTGCTGTCGGCACCGCTCGCGCTGTGGGTGGCGCTGCTCCTCTTCGTCTACCTCCAGGTGTTTTGCTTCTTGGTGTCGTGCACCCGAACCGAGCCCAAGAAGGTCGGCTACTGCCTCTTCCCGCTCTGCCTGCTCGTGCTGCTGAGGCCACGGCAGCCACGCTTGAAGACGTATGCTCACGCCAACAATGGTGTGCAAGTCATTAATATGTGAGGACGCTTTTGAGTAGTGTGTGTGTATATGTGTACCGCCTATAGGCGCTCGCTTACCGCCCCAATAGTATGTTAAGGCTATACGGGGGTCTTTGTTATCGCCTAACCATCTTAGCGGGGATAGCATGGCCGCGATGGGCCATTGAAGGCTCAGTTGGACACACGAGTTCCTTGTGCGAAAGAAAATAATTGTACAGTTCGTTATTGTGAACACCTCAATTTGGGGGATCTATTCCACAATGAAAAACAGATGGACCAAGGCCCATGATGCTTGTATTTGCCAATTGCTGTGATAGGTGTATTCGTATAAACACTATCAAAAGCTAAAACATGTATTTGTGACCCTTTTTTTCGACATATCACTGCTTGGGCCGGGATTGTAATTTATAGAGATGTACTATGTTTCATGTTTGTTACAGGTGGCTTTGGGAAAAATAGATTATTTTCAGAACATGGCTTCACGTAAGAGTATATTATTGGAGAGTTTGAATTTGATGGTGGCTTTTTGTATTATTGACATTGAATACTGTGCATTTTACCCTGTCTAATAAATGATCAACCAATTTTATAAAAATTCAAACTTTGAAAAATATGATGTATAATTATTACAAATTATGGTTTCTAACAAACTCTCGTTATACACTAGCTATCGTATTTTACAAAGATGGTATTTGTACAAGCGTTACCATAATTGTGGTGATTCAGCAATATTGCACGCTTCAATTTGGACATCATCTCATGAGTTTGCAGTTGGTCTCCTAATTGCACCTCCTAAATGTCTTTTAGGAACAATATATTTGTATAGGATTAAAAAATGTACCATTTTCACTCCAAAAAGTATGGAGACCAGGCCTCCTAAATAGGAAACTTTTATTTATTTTTCCCTTGAACAATTTATTTTCTCTTTTGTTTTCTTTAATGATTTATGTAAAAACAAATGTGAATTTCAATTTGTATTAATTTCTAAAAGTGCCTTCTATAAATGGTTGTAATATATGTGTGTTAAGGATATCATTTGTACGTGTGATACCCATGGTAACGTGTGCACAAGAGCAGGTGCTGGAATATTGCCGTTATGTCTGGATTATAAAACATTACACGACGCACCTCAAGAGCTGGGATGCGTCATATAATCTGTTAGGTACGTGTGTGTGCTTATGATCAAGTTTGTATAACCGTATTGATGCCCGGCAGAATTCTTTGGGATGTCTTACTTTCAGAAGTGTCTTACAATCTGGAGGATATGGTAAATTGCTTTAACATAATAGAATGTAGAGTTATACCTTTTTTGTTTGGCATTTTTTTCCATCCAATATACGAATATGATACATTGTATCACCACTGCATGATGGGCAGTATAATAAGAGTTTTTGGTGTATTTTACCCTTGGTTTTATATGACACATAAAACTGGGATATCTTTTATATATGTATATAAATGGCATAATGAACAAATTGCATGACAGTATACAGGATCTGTTTTTTGGCCAGTGTTGACTACACGAGACTTAGGTTAAAGTTGATTGTCTGTGACTCGGAGTTTGATGCTGCGCTATTCTATACTTACAAATGCATAAGGTAACTTTGGGTTGCATGTTAAATGGCATAATCCGGGGTGGAACCTTGTGGTCTCTTCGTGGTTTGTCGTTTTTTCATAAGTGTATTCTGTGGAGCTGTTGGCAAAGAAACATTTTGGAAAGTGTAACTTCAACCAAATTAAGTAATTCAGGTAACATCTATGTAAAACTGCACTTTTTCCATCTTTTGTACATAAGGTGTACATATTTCTATCCACCGCCATATTTCCAAGCCCTAGCGATTACAAGCATATATTACAATGGCTTTGTAATTGCAAATAACATTCACTGCAAGGTTAAAGAGCTAATTAAAATACTGTACATACATTCAAGTTGAATGTTTCTTCATTGAGGTGGAATAAAAGTGATTCACAATACATCTCGCAGTATCTGCTTCGTGTGTTGTATGGTATAACTGCAAATTACAGCTCTTTATTAATCCACTGCTGGATGAAGGCCTTCCCGCAGAGTGTCAGTTGTGGGTGTTTGACCATACTTTTGTGAAATGTGATTTTAAAGAAAAATATAGTCTTCTAAATGTTGTGCTCATGTTCTTGGTGTCAATGTGCAAGAGGGGGCACTGTTGAGTTCTGTCCAGAGGATTGAGGGCTTTTCTGAAGAAGAAAAAGAGAAAATAACTTAGCCCTACTCTTTGGTTCTTTCGGTAAAGTCACGTAGGTCAAAAAGTAAAATAAAAAATGGAGAATAAAAAATAGAAATAACTAAATTAAATCACGGCGTTTCGGAAGCAACACGACCTTCCGTCATCAGGTGGGACAACCACAGTAAGAAACAATTTTTTTTGCCCACTCCAGTAATTTTTGTTTCTTGCTGTGGTTGTCCCACCTGATGATGGAAGCTTGTGTTGCTTCCGAGACGTCGTGATTTAATTTAGTTCTATTTTTTTTTTATTCTTCATTTTTATTTTTTCACCTACGTGATTTTACCGAAAGAACCAAAGAGTATGGATCCTTGCAGTCACGAAAACTTATTATCTAGAACTTAGCCCTAATCACAGTGAAGTGCACTCACCACTGTGCCACCACTCCCCCTGGAGCTCCCTCCAGGGGGAGTGGTGATGTATTTATAAAGTGAGATTTGCCAGCAGTCATTCTTTAATATTGCAACGTGTAGGCATGAGTCGTGTTCATGTGAAGATGTATATACATTTCCATGTGCACACGAATTCACTTTATTATTATAATTGCACACGCATAACAGACAATTGAAAATGCATTTTAAACATGTCTGTTCATGAAACGCTTAAAAATTAACTTTCAAATCCAGGCAACATTTTCTATGCGATAATGTTTCACTGAAAAGTTCTTGAAAGTAAGTGATTTCAAGGTATGGTGTGCAATTACAAAAAATAACATTTATAAGCTATGTTCTATTGTGGTTCTTAAATGTATACCTTTCTATTCTTTATTAAAAATTACACTACCACAAAAGGTCATATTCTGTTCACGTAACCGTAAATAGTGCTGGGATTATTTTAATAATTTGCACTTTGGATGTTTTGTCTTGACTGCATAGCACTGCGTCTTTTTAAATGAATTTTCTGCTTAAATGTACTAAAAAATGCACCATTTTTTAGTTGACATCCACAAATAATGCAAAGCTATTTCAAAAGTCATCCAAATGAAAGTGCAAACCAAACAAAGTTAATGAATGAAACCTCCATTAACTTCGTTATACACGGACGCATAAAAAAGAGCAAAGAAATGCGTCTGTATAAATGTGGAGGGGCAGATAAAATATAAAAAGAGCACCTAGGTGGACCGGGTGGAAAAAGCAATCGTCGGACTGAATCCCCACCATTGTCATCCTGAGTTTCAGTTTCAGTCAACCCTTGTTTAAACCTGGTTATCAAAATGTAGAAATGTGATGGTCTCAAGCCAGTCAACAGTGACCGCACACACAAAAACGCACTTTACATTATTTTTTTGTTTCACTTAATATGGCTATAGTCCAGGCCTTGCAGTTACAATATTGTTTTTTTTTTAATATATATGGTGTCGCATGGCATTTGGATACGGGAGGTGACTTGAATTTATGTCATTGGTCGTTTTTTAATATATTATTCTGCAGGTTGAAGAACTGGCTTGCATTCCAAACGAACGCTTTATCTCATTGGGAAACTCATACGGAATAATTGGAATAAAAATTGGCAAAAAAAATGAAATGGCACCGACCACTTAACCAATTTTAACCTCACCTCCAACGTCGGCAGGCATTAGTGGCCCGAAATACCAAGGAGCCAGCAACAAACAACACCCTTAAACTTGTAATAAATAAAGAGTTAATATGTGAGCAGAGCAAAGTTATTAGGACTTGGAAACATCAACGATAAGCGGGAAGCAGGAGAAATAGAAGTACGTTTACCCGCACTGTTATAGTTGAACACTGTGGGTAAGACTGATAGCTAGTCCATCTGGGTGGACGAATCAACGTATGGGGGGAGTTGTATTGCCATCAGACTGCCACGCTGTCGTTGTCTTTGTGGCGCAGATAGTTGAGCAGCGGGCGAGGCAGGGGCAGCTTTTCCAACAAAAGCACTCGCTGAGTTCCCACGCTGGCACGGATCTGCAGCCTGCACAGGTGTGCCAGCGGTCGTGGGCATTCTGTCGTGCGAGAGTGACAGGTCAACAGGGTAACTGGCATATCGTCACAGTACGTTCAAATTTGGAATGTGACTTAAACCTGTTTTATCAGCTGTGCTGTGCCCATTGGCAATATCTTGATGGGCGGCCTCGGTTGGTTCACTCTTATGAATGCGAGCGGTTGATGTTAAATGTATACTCTTAGTTTTTTCGGTAAAGTCACGTAGGTAAAAAAATGTAAATTAAAATTAATTAAAAAAAATATAATAATTTATTAATTTCCTTTATTTTTATTTAATTTTTTTTACCTATGTGACTTTACCGAAAAAACTAAAAGTATGAATCCTTGCAGTCACGAAAGCTTCAAATCTGATGTTAAATGCTCTATTTGTGGTTGCTGTGCTCTGTAATTTTCCTATTATTCATGACCCCCCCCTCCTCCTGTCACTTGTACACTGAAACAACTTTCTATAGCAGCGAGCCTCTCTGGATCACCTAGGATGGAAGCAGACTAAAGGGCATCATACTTCATAAGTATATGAGTTTCAACACACACACATAAATACGCACCTGCAATGTCTTTGACCAAGGTCCATTCTTTGAAGGTGTCAAGCTGCTCCTTAAGCCTGGAGCACAGGCGCACGTTGGCCACGAAGTGCAGGATGGTGTCTATGATGGGCCCGGCCCAGCTGTTTATCTCTGAGGACGCCATCATCTCACAGAACTGCACACGGAACAACAACAACAACAACAACGACGACGACGGTGCCGTTCGACCCCAATGGCAACTTTCATTGCAGACACCACACAGCCATTATGTAGCCTACAGTTTAAAGCAAACTTTGAAATGTATGTTCAGCTTCTTTCGCACCGTAACTAGCCAACCGTGCTAAGCGGGGAAAGGACAACAACCTAAACACAAAAGCAGTTTTACAGAAATGAGTCTTCAATCTAGATTATTTAAAAGTGGCTTCCTTCTTTCGGAAAGAAGAGCGTTCCAGACGGCCGCAGAAGCACATCTGAAAGTACTGCGATGTGATGACAGTCTGACAAAGGGGGCTGTACATGCACGTATTAACTCAAAAGGATCTGCGCAAGCGACAACGAGCGACTCTTCCAGGCTCCATAGGTTTTTTTTTGGGTTAGATTGCGTAAATATAAATGTGTCATTAAACCCGCCACCACCCGACACAGCCAATTAGTCATGTTTGCCACGGAAACAGAACTCGCCAATTCGTTACGAGTACAACACACCGGTGTGTTGGAGAGTAAATCCACAACATCTACAATGTGAGTACGACGTTTCGCCAGTTGGCCAAACGAGGCTCGATTTGGCCAACTGTGCCCCCCCCCCCCACCTCTTGAGGAGTGAACAACGCCGCGCGTCAACCCGGCAGGTGACCGACCGACCGCACAGACCTGTAGGACGTTCCCAGGCCCGTTGAACCACCTCTCCTCCCACGGCTTGAGCTTCTCGGGCAGGGGCGGGTGCTCCCCGCTGCCGAAGGGGCAATCGAAGCAGGCGCCCCCATCGGCGCCGCGCTCCAGCACCAGCTTGAGGATGCGCAGGTCCCGCAGGCACACCATGATTGTGGCCGGGAAGGCGGTGGGTCGCGCGGGGATGTACGCGTTCACGTTGGCCCCGTGGTTTAGCAGGAGCCTCACCAGGGCGTAGGCGTGCATGCGCGAGGCGACCAGCAGCGGATTGAGGAGGTCGATGTTGGGGTCGGCGCCCGCCTCCAGGAGCAGCTCGGCGCAGCGGTAGTCGCCGTTGATGATGGCGAAGTAGAGCGGCGTGGAGCGGCAGTCCTCGTAGAGGCGCGCGCGGTCCATGGAGAGGGTCGCGTTCACGTCCAGCCCGCCGCTGCTGAGAAGCAGCTCCAGGACGTCGCTGTGGCCGTTCTTGGTGGCCAGGTGCAGCGGGCTGATGCCGCTCCGCCTCACCTGGAGCTCGTCGGTCACGGGCATCAGCAGCTGCTCGACGATCCTGCGAGATAACGCGTGTACGCGCATGTGTGTGCGCACGCATTCGTGTGTACACACGCGCTTGTACATAACACACACCAAGGCCGTAGCCATGGAGTCAACATTGGGGGGGAACAAATCTTCCGGGGCGTCTGGGGGTCCCCCCCAGAAAAACAAAATCGAAATTTGAAGATGAATTCTCCGGCTAAAATATTTTAAAAAATCACTAAAACATGGGATTGACTTTTTATTTTATACAATAATGTTTAATAGAGTATTGCATTACATTGCTCTGTTTTTTTCTTTTTTACCTTTTCTTGTTTCATTGTATGTAATGGCAGAGATTGGGGATTTATAAGGTACAACCATAACCACAATCATATACACAGAAATCTATTTTATCGCAATATATTGGGGGGACATTTTGAGCATATTTGAACATGGGGGGGGATATGCCCCCCCAATACATATTATAATTACGGCCTTGACACACACACATACGTGTGTACACGCGCGGTGGTGCAGCTGTTATTGACGCTGCGCTCCGAACCCGAGTTTGCTTCACGCTCACGGCCAACACCAGTGACGATTATCTGAACCGGTCCTATAGTAATAGAGCAAGTGCAGAATCACTGAACCGTAATTGATAGCTTGAAACCATTTAGCGCGGGGCCCTTGAAAGTGCGTGGCCCGTAGCATTTGCTACTTTTGCTACTAGGATAATCCGGCACTGCTCACGAGGTCTTCAACGCTATGTGTTGTGTGTGTGTGCGTGAGACTCAGCACCCGGCGACCCGAGTTCGAATCTCGCTCATGGCCAGCGACCAGTGACGATGATCTGAAACGGTCACGGGGCCTCCCCTAGGTAGACTCAGCCTCAAATGAGTACCTGGTGGGGTGTGTAAACATCGTCACTAGGGAGACAAAGGCGGTCGGCAGAATTTTTTTTTAATAGCGATTCCAGCAACCTACCCAAGGTACTTCGGGAGGGATTTATTTTTGTTATTTACATTCCGAAGTGCTAATATTAGAGAAGAAATTGCCAACTTTGTTGAAAAAAAAATACTTGTGCTCAGGAGGTGACTGGGTAGGTCAAAGGTCGGAGTGCTGAACCAGCACCTCTGAGATCCTGGATGTGAATCCAGGCCTGTGATTAAATCGGGCTCAACAGTGTATGGAGTTGATGGTCTCTACCCCGTCCCCAATTACGACACAAAATACGTAATCACATTTAATTTGTTTCTGCACTCAATGTCTAAAATTACAGCTCTTGAGAATTATGCAACGAACATGTGCACTCGGGAAAGTGCTGCCCTCTGCTGAGTTTTCCAGCAGGGTTTCCACTTGTCCTATTTATTTTTCCAGGATTGCCCTCCTGTTGATGTAGCAGCTATCTTGCTAAATTAGTAAGTCTTTCCGGGACATTAAAAGTTCAATTTTTTTGTCAATTACACAACAATACACCATTTATATTCTTGTTCTCGTGATGTCCCATTTTTTTCTACCCCGGATAAGGCAATCCTTCTAAAGTGGTAGCTTTGCGATATCCACCAACACGAAGAGTCACGCTGCCCTGCGTGATAATTCAATGGATAAAGAATTAATTAGTCTCATGACAAGTGAATAAAATTGGGTGTGGGAAAACAGAAATATTATTTTTCAAAACAAGATAAAATATTCGTCACATACCCTTCATTGCCATTGGCTGCCACCACGTGTATGGGCAGCAGCCCGTCCTTGGTAGGTCGGTTGGGGTCGGCTCCCTGAGACAATAAGAACTCTACCACGTCCGCGTGGCCGTTCTTGGCGGCTTCAAACAGCACCGTGGTGCCGTCACAGGCCTCGCTGTTCACATCAACACCTGCAACACAGCACCGTCACTCATGCCTCGCTGTTCACATCAACAACCTGCAAAAAAGCGGTCGTCAACCAGTGGCTCAAGCACACGTTCGTGATGATGGTGGTGGTGTGGAGTGCCTCCAGGCAGAGGGACGCCAAGGTGGACAGAGGACACGGAAGGGTTTCTGCAGCCCCCTCGATAGATACAAATTGGTCGTCAAGTATAATAAAATGTTTTTTTTCCCTTTTTTCTGGCAACAAAACTGAAACCTTTTTACAAGGAATCATGTGTGCCTTAACCACAATACTTGTGGTCAAAATGCAAACAAAAAACACACTGATAATATATGCATTGTCCTTGAAACTGATTGGTCCACACAAGAAACAGCTTTCATTTGAGCCTCGTCTCAATTGGTACTCGACCAGAGGACGCCAAAAGGCGTACAGCTCAAAGACAATGCACTATCAAAGTAACTATTATTATATTTTGGTACTGGCAAAGAAGGTCTAATGATGTAGATGCTTAACCCGAGCCCTCATTACCCCCTCCGTGTTCCCCGGAAGGGATGCCGTGAAGGTGCGCGTTATAACTACTCCCTCTCTGCGTTCCTCCTCGCCTTCATCACTGGCGTCAATATTGGTGGTAAACTATCGCCTGTGCCCAGCGAAACAGTGAAAGGACAGCACGGTTGTGCCACAGTGATGCTATCATGTACGCACAGTTGAGCTTGAATGAAATTAGCTGAAGTCATCATTGTCACCATCAGCCATGATCTTTCCACTGCTGGATGAAGGCCTCCCCAAGCTGAACATAGTTTATAGGGTCAATCCATGTAGATCCTTGGCACGAGCTGATTTTCATTGCTCTATAAGTGGTGATGCTGTTTGTACTCTTCAAGCCCCGTGGTGCAAAGTGCAGTATACAACTCTTATTGCCCACCCTGTCTCTCTAACCTCTCTAATTGTGTGTGCTACGAATAAGAAGTAGGCCCATTGCCCGAAACGTTGCCTACCACTCACTTTTCTTCTTTACGAGGCCACGGTGTTATTGAAGGACGTGTTGTTGTTGTTGTTTTCAAGGAAAATATTAGGTAAAAAACCGAAGACCCCCCCCCCCCCGCGTGACGCTTACCCAGAGACACGAGGTACCGGACGACCTTCAGGCACCCGCACTGAGCCGCCATGAAGAAGGGACAGATGCCGAACTTGTTCTTGAACTGGAGCTTGGCCCCGTAGGCGACGAGCAGCTTCACCAGCTCCAGGTTGCCCTTCGACGTGGCCTCGTGCAACGGCATGTTGCCGTAGATGTTGCGGTAGTTCACGTCGGCTCTGCGAGCGATGAGCAGCGACGCCACCTCGGAGTTGTTGATTTCGCAGGCTGCGGCGATAGGTTTGTGCATGCGGCAAAGAGTTTATTCAGAGATTTTGTTTTTCGAGACAGGGTTCATTTAATCGCTTTGCCAGTCGTAGCAACTGCCACGTCCGGGAGCTTGTATCGAACTGGCGACGGGTCTATTTAAGCATTTTTATTGTGTTGTACATACATATAATGTGTACAATGTATAGCCATAAATGCAATGTATGTACATATATTCAATGTATGTAAATACGTACATGCATTGAGCCATAACCATGGTCATTGAATAATAGTAAAAGGTTCATGACATTGCCGCCATTCCCACTGCTGGGTGGATAGAGGTTCAACTTTCATGCTGGGAGGTTGAACCGGTCATTTCTGGACCTCAACTCCAGTGTGCTAACCATTCACCGTGGCAGCACGCCTCCCCCAGAACTGGAGATTACTTTTAAGGATTGCAGAGGGGGTTTGATAGCAAGGAAAGGGTGGAGATCAAGATCAAAGTTCAGACCACAAGACAGGCATCGTCGAAATGTATCAGTGGCACTGCACTACGAACCTGGTCATTGGAGTTCAATTCCTTGGCATGGCCTATATCAGTTAAGCGATATATCAACCGGTCCGGGGCACCCCCCCCCCCCCCTCACCACACACCCGTCACCAACGCGTATTAACAACTCTCACGACCGATATGGCACAGAGGGATACCAATTTGGCGGTGGGTTCTGCAACACGTGCATGATACAGTCCAAGTGTAAATGGGGACAGGGAGATGGCAACGTCATTCGGGGTTGTGGAAAGTGCACGGAATTACAAATGTATTCTGACGTGAATAAAGCAAAAAAAACGTAACATCGTCCTTTAATGTTTGAGTTCGGGCTCTCCGTGTCCACACAGGGTACGTGGTGGTTTATATACTGGGGTGGAAGAGATGGCAGTGGCAGAATGAAACTAAAACAGCACCCACAGACGCAAACACGCATCCACAACACCATCATCATCATCCCGACAGTGGCCTCAACCTAAATTGCTTCCCACCAGCCTTGAACTTAATCTTGACCTTGTGGCTTTCAGCGTCGGCCACTCATCCCTTTGTCCTCGTGGGGCAGGGAGGGGGCCGTTGGTCCTCCGGACTCCGAGACGATTCGTCTGCTTGCGCGTGTGGATGCCGGATCGGGAACGACTCGCCTTTGTAGAGCGGGGTCTCCTTGACGTGCCTGCAGACGTCCACGGTGGCGTTCTCCGCCAGCAAGATGCGCACGCAGGCCACGTGGCCACGGTACGCGGCGAGGTAGAGCGGCGTCTCGTTCTGCTTGCTGCGAGCGTCCACCGTGTCGGGGTGAGCTGCAGCAGCGGGCGGAGGGACACCGCGAAAGTTGAACGCGACGGAACAGCCAACGTGGCCACACGCTACGCCGACAGTGGCAGATGCATGGGTCGGGGGGAACGATTGGGGTACACCCCACTCCCCATAATGAGACCCTGAAAATTAGTGTTTTATTGATATTCGCCAGATAAACTATCGTGGAATGTTCTATTCATTTTTTCATTTTTTTCATTTGTTATGTTTGTGCTGCTGCACAACGCAGCAGCAGCATCACCAACTACAAGACACGCGGAGCGACCAGCGGGCTGCAGCTGCTGCTCGCTCACCCTGCAGCAGGATGCCGAGGCAGCACGGCTTGTCGTGGTAGGCCGCCTCGTGCACGGCCATCCAGCCGTGCGGCGTGGTGACCCTCAGCTCCGCGCCGCTGCGTCGCAGCCGAGTCAGCGCCGTGCCGTCATCCGCGGAGACGGCTTCCCACACCGGGTCCAGCAGCCTCCTCAAGGATGGCAACAGACGCGGAGCCTCTCTCAGATATTGGAGATTCGTTTTAGCCGCAGCTGTCCCCGGGCTACTGAGCTCCAGAGAAAAAAAAGAGAGAGATTTCTGCGCTCTGAACACCGCATCAAGTAACGCCTTTTCGCAAAGCCTGTGGTGGCTTCTAGTTCTGCAATGCACCACACCTCCCGTTCCTACCAGGATCTCCAGGATAATGTCTCCACGCCTGGCACATGTATCAGTGGCACAGTTGTAAGAATACCGCACTACAAACCTGGTTATCGAAGTTTCGAATCCTGGTCATGGCCAACATCAGTTGAGAGATATATGAACCAGTGCTGGGAATCTCCCCCCCCCCCCAACACACCCGTCACCAACTCGTATTGACCAGCATGGTGAAGTAGTATCACCTCTCGCAAAGGCTGTAGTCACGTGCCACCTCCCGTTTATACCAGCGCCCCGGATAACATTCATGCACGCATTAAGCCCTCGGTCACCGTAAATTGTCCGCCTTATTTGGAAGAGTAGGAAGAGCCCCTTGTTGGCAGTCACGGCTATGACCCGGTGCGCGCGATCCCCACACACGCGAGAGGCGCGCGCGTGACACGGGGGAGACGCGCGCGTGACACGGGGGAGACGCGCGCGTGACACGGGCGCGCGGCCAGCCAGCGCCGTGCGCCACGTGGTGTTTGCTGTGGTTCCACGTGGTGGCTATTTAATCGCCTGTATTGTATTGCAGGGCGACAACACCGAGCCCTAGTCGTGTTCGCCGCATGCTTACTGCACAATAATAGCAACACGTAAAGGTGCAGCCCTTGCAATTGCTTGCTTACGCTAATGCTGGCGGAAGATCCTCCGATCCAGTTCTAAAAATAAATGCTCAGTAGGTGTCCATGTTTATATGTAACTTGCATACACGTTAGGGATGAGTTTTGGGATTCTTACAAATATATCTGAATGAGGATTTTCACATTTCTAAGGTCAATTTCGGATGTTCTCTTCGAAATTTCGGAGAATGTACATTCTATGAGAGCTTAACGTTTCTTCTAGCTAACAAAAGTAACATCGTCGTATGCCATGTGATGCCACTATTAGGGGGGGGCACGGAAGTGGTGTAATCTAAGTGACACGTTTTCCAGTGATAGCAAACATTTTTTATTAATTCTAGAAAAAAAATCTATTCTGATCAGAAGTTTCGTACGGAAGCCTGATTTCCAGATTTTTTTCGGATTAATCACACACTCCGGGACACAAACTTTGGAGTTTATGCACAGAGTATATGCACGGGAGAACCTTTATTAAACACATACACACACACCTACCCTGTCTGTTCTTGAACTGGTGGTGGAATACTCCTCCATGGACTGACTTTGTTTGTTGGAGGCTTGAAGAGGCCCTCCTGGTCCTGCGAGCCATGGGAGAACACGACCCTAACAACCCGAGAAGGGAATAATTGTTTGATAATCATATCAGCCATTGCTGGACGAAGGCCTTCCCATGCCAACACCATCGCTGATGGTCCTGCGATGCCACAATCCATCTCAACGAGAAATACATATTTGGAACAAATATTAAAAATATATATACTGTACATTGCAAACAAGTAAGGTTATAGGTGGCTTGAAATAATATATTAGCGCTGAAGCAACAATTGACAAATTGGGAATTTGATTCAATGCAGACCTTACAAATATATATTTTTTATCTCAATATTGAACAAATTATATTATCAGGCATAATGAATCGGTTCATTGCCTGCCACGACGAGGGGTCTTAATGGACTGCATGGGAAACAGCGAACCAGTAAATTGGATAAGCCGCAGTGCGAATAATGCCCAGCCTGGATAATGTATGTAAGAATACATTTAATCTAGCCACATATGCCAGATGTTCCCTATGCCTGGTAACGATGGGGGAAGGCACGGCACAGTCTGTTAAACAAAATTGAATCAAATGTTAAACGCTAAGCAGAATGAGTAACGATACGATCCGCTTGTGTCTATCGTGCATTCTGCTCTAGCTCCTCCGATTAGCACGCACCTCTAATGAGCACAGTTGGCTACGTCTGGTGCGAAATAAGTTCAACGTACACACGTACATCGCTCCCACCCCCTCCTGTGTACACGAGGAATGGCTGCGACACCCATCGTGTCATTGCACTCATGTGTGCTCCAAATGTTTAACGCCACGGTGGCGAGATGCGAACTACCTCGTCTCGTATACATGAAGTTGTGGGTTCGATATGGAGCCTGACGCTTGTATATTTGCGTGTGTTCTCCCAGTGGTGGCGTGGATTTTTCTCCGGGTCCGGTTTTTCCATCCACATTTATAAACATGCGCTGAGAGTATTTGGCTGCGATAAATTTCCACACGATGAGCCACCTCGCTGAGCTGTCATTTGTGGCCAGGCCACTTCTGAACAAGCTTAGTGGGCCTTACCTAGTAAAATAAAAAATAGTAAAAAATACTTCCATAATACAGGTTTTTTTCTATGGGTTAGATCGCGTTAATATAAATGTGTCGTTAAACCCGCCACCACCCGACACAGCCAATTAGTAACGTTTTTTCATGTAAATAAAGCATGCCATTTCGAATCTGGCTGTCACAAATCTGGCTGTCCGCCTGATGATGCTAGTTGTAATTACTGGCGAAACGTCGTACTCAGATTGTAAATGTTGTGGATTTTCTCTCCAGCACACAACCTGTGTGCTGTACTAGTAACGAATTGGCATGTTCTGTTTACGTTCCAAACCCTTACTCATTGGCTGTGTTGGGTGGTGGCAGGTTTAACGAGACATTCATATGTACTCGATCTAACCTAAAAAACTGTATTGTGGATGATATTGGTCACGAAAGCCTACGTGTTAAACCCAAAAAATAGTTCACTACACTAAAACATCTTTTTTACTTCCAACCGGGAGTGGACTCAGCTCACTTCAGCCAACACTCCTAAGGCTGATGCCTGGCATGGAATTCACCGACAACCCCTAGCAGTGTCTCACCACCCACGAAAATTCTGAACTGAGATCAGCAGACAGGGGGAGGGCTAATTTGAAACCAGGGGTTGTACACAACGCTAGGTGATTATACGGTACAAGTCAATGTCACGGTGTCTCCACACTTATGCGAGTTTTGGAAAGTGTTCATATGCATTGGTAAAAGCAAATATCATCAGCAGAACTCCATTCTATCTCTCCACATACATATTTTTTAAATGTTTCAGCCATATTAAAATTATCAAGCAGCACTGGCACAAGTCAGCAAAATCTGAACCGATTACAATATTCTGCGTCCTGTTGGCAGTCAGGCTTGCCAAACATGCTATAGGATTACCAGATGGTATTGGCAAAGGCACTCCATACAACATGCGGGACCCTGTTCAGCGGCATATACGGTATTTGACAAACCTGAATTGGTGATGTTATTTCATTGCTTAAATGCCCTGGCATCTCAAGAGTGACTTACAAATCCATAGAAAATAAAAAAAACATCAAGGCAATAAACGGAAGAAAAGAAAAGTGACTACCCTTTTGACCGCTCCAGCTAAGAGCGTCAGCCGGCAAACATCAATCAGTAAACACCTCAACTCAACGTGTCGAGCGATGCGCAACGCCTATTGTTTCGACTGCCTCGATGCCATTCGCACTTCTCGAACAACCCACCGATTGTTTTTTTCTTCCCCTCGAGCGCGTGACCTGTGGGCGGAACTCAAGGGTTTGGAATTCACCGTCGGCCCTGGCTCCCCGGCTGCCTGCGGAGGCCCGGGTTCGCTGTGGCCGTGGCCGCGTTGAGTTGCTGGAACGGGGCTCCGTCACCGCCACACACCTCCTGCAGACTCTGCTCCACGGCCATCCTGATGAGCTCCTCTTCCCCCAGGCTGCTGTAGAGGCTGTAGTCTTCCGCATCGAGGCTGTGGCCCGATGCCATGCTTTGTGAAGTGTGTGCGTGCTCTTCACACCGATCCGAGGTGTGCGTGTGCGCGCAGAGGGCACGGGCAATGGTTTTGTCATTAGAAAGTCAGGGCCGTCTGGAGCACAAATCTGGTCGGATAAATCGATTGCAATTTCGGTGACTATTTTTTTTTTTTCTAATAATACCGAGCATGTTTTATGAGTTTCATCCCATTCAAGGAATATAGGCAGAGGAACGATATTCTCGAATTTTTGAGTTCTGAAAACGTTTTGATCCAATTCTTAGACACACTAAAACGTCTTTCAGTAGCCTGCCAAATGTATTCTCAGTACAGTGCAGTGGTTGTGCTTTAAGAAGCACCGTGCCAGCACAAATCTGTGACATTTCCTTCAGCAACCCGACACGGACACTCGATGCCCCACGCCTGCACAAAGCCAGCCACATGCCTACGCACATTGCGATAAAGCTCTTGAGCATGTCAATAAACCATTACATCCTTCTACTTTAGCTGCAGTAACCATTCAGCAATCTCGTATGTACGTATGTTGAACTTTTTGCGCACCGCACGTAGCCGTACTGCGCTAATCGGAGGTGCAATCTCGATAGCAATTGGCCACTATGCCGCTTCTTAATATTTCCGTACAGTTTAGCAACACGGTAGAACAAAACAAAAAACATGCCGCAACGCGCCGTCAACCTGTAACAAGTGGCAAAGCATGTGGCCTTCGTTACTGGCACTGACAAAAGATAATATGAGCACATTTAAAAAAATACATTTTAGTTTCAAATTTTATTTTTACATGGCTACGCGTAAGGGCGGGAAACCCGCAAGCGTTTCCCTGCGGCACGTTCTCACCGTGAAGCTGTGGCGACAGTGGCCAGGGTCCCAATGTCAGGGTCCAGACCACGTGAGTGGAGGCTGCTCGGTATTTTTGGACGAGTACATGGCATGACTTTGGTGGAGGACGGGCGAGTTTAAACTTTGACTTTTACATGACTACGCAGCACCGAGTAAAAAAAAACTGCAGGAACTTTCTCTGTGAAGCGGGGGGGGGGGGGGAAGGGGGGCAATGACGCAGCCCAGTGGGAGGATGTGCGCCGATTGTTGCGGAGGTTCGCGGTTCGAATCCGGCAGGCCACCCTGATTAATACTGCAAGGCGTAAGTTGACCGTTAATTGCTATGCTCCGTCTGCTTCACGGTGGACCTTAAAGATCGTGCGTTGTCGTGCGAAAAGAGTCTGCAACTGTGCGCTGGCATCGTGCTCCGAATAAAAAAATACTGCAAATTACTCAATTACGACGACACATAGCAACACCACACAATGCTCGTACATTACATGTATGCATGCACGTTGAACTTTTTTCGCACCATACGTAGCCAATCGTGCTAATCGGACATTCTTATACTTAAGAGGAATTGCGGAAAGGCTGAACGGAAATGGAGACAAACCAAATTGTCAACTATGATATTCTAAACGGGGCATCTCACTATATTCAATAACGCAATTAGAAATGCTCGATGGTCTTATTTTAAAAAATCGGTTGACGAACCATCAGAACAACCTAAGAGTACTTTTCTCAACAATTGAGAGCCTTATTAATCTGGCCCCTAAACACATCTCTGACCACATCGCTTTTTCCAAATGTGAAGAGTTTGCGGCATACTTCAGAGACAAGATAACTACAGTTAGAAATTATATAATCCAAGATAAACATGATACTGTATGTGTGAATCCTTGCTCCAGTGCCCCAGCCCACTGCATGAAAAAACAATGAGCACCTTCACTTTTGTCAACTCGGAGATGCTAAAAAACAGAAGTAATGCACCTCGACCCTTCAACCTGCTCACTTGATCCTGTCCCGACCTCCTTTTTTCAAAATAGTTTATAATTGTGTGGCCGAGGATTTTCTTGCCATTGCAAACCACTCCCTAGCTACAACTATTTGTCCCAATAAACTTGAGGCCACCATTGTGGTAAAACCGCTTCTTAAGAAAAGTCACCAGGATCCGCTGATGGCTCAATAATTTCAGGCCAATTTCCAACATTGCATTTTTAAGTTAAATTCTAGAAAACTTAGTTCGCAAACAACTAAATGTTTTCCTAAATACTAACTGTATATTTGGGGAAATTCCAATCTAGTTTTTATGCTCTACATAGCACTGAAACAGCTCTTGTTAGAATTGTTAATGATCTAAGAGTTAACACGGATGACAAAAAAGCATCCGTTTTCGTACTTTTGGACCCGAGCGCAGCATTCGATAGGTTTATCACAACATTCTCTTTGATAGACTTCGGAGATGGGTTGCCCTCTCCGCCACAGTGGCTATTTGACCGGTAGAGATTATTTTGTATCTCTAGGTGATCTTTCTCCCTAAAAAACAGAAATTACGTGCGGTGTTCCACAAGGCTTCATTCTGGGACCTGTTTTTATTAAATCTTCATATGCTACCACTAGGCGGTGTCATCAGGAGAGAAGGGATTGATTTTCATTGTTATGCTGATGATACACAACTTTACATGTCTGTATCGCCTAATGATGTAAGCCCCATTGAGAACCTGACGAAGTGAATTGATGAAATAAAAATGTTGATGTCATATAATTTTTCTGGTACTCAACAAAGATAAAACAGAGGTGCTAGTCATTGGAGCATAAGCCCAAAGAGATCACACATTTAAGCTCGTTGACAGAAAACGCCAAACTGCAGGTTAAATATGTCGGTGTTTTGTTTGATCCGGATTTGAACTTTGAAGCCCACAATAGATATGTCACCAAAAACGGCCTTTTATAATCTCAGAAACATATCAAAGGTACAGCCTTTTCGCTCTCGGTCTACTACTGAGAGACGGATGCATACTTTTATCACTAGCAGACTCGACTAGTGTCATGCTCTCCTGTCTGTAAATTAATAAGTAAACTGCAACTAATTCAGAATGCAGCGGTACGTGTACTGACGAAAACCAGACAGAGAGTACCTAAGTAACACCCATTTTACGATCCTTGTACCGGCTGCAAGGCAGTCGTAGAACTGATTTAAAAATCATTCTATTGTTTTCTAAGGCGTTGAATGGTCTGCCACCTGTATACATGTCTTCCATTCTCTTGAGATATGAACCAACAAGATCCCTCCCAAAGGCCAGGGACCAAAACATCGGGAGAAGCGGCGGCTTTGAGTGTTCACAGTCCTCGCCTGTGGAACAGCCTGCCCAGGGGATCTGAGGGCTTCTGAATCATTAAGCACTTTTAAAATATATATTTAAGAACTTATTTTTTTAAACTTGCTTTTAATTAGGATTCTCTTCACGTGTTATTTGCATGCCTTTCCTAGAAATGTGTGACGTGATTTTATTTTGCCTACAATTTCACTTCCATTGTTCATGCCTGTAAAGCACTATGTATTGCATTTTTTTGCACGAAGTGTTACAGAAATAACGTTTGATTGATTGATTGACAATACACTAAACACAACAAATAAAAGCGTTTCCAAGGAAAATGCATTTATTGCACATTAAAACACTGCCTTTGGATATCTTACAAACTGACTGATGATTTCTATGCAATAAAAAAATGCAAGTAAAAAATAAAATACACATTGAACGTAAAATGAAATCCGAACGCTCTCCTCTAGTGCAGAGAGGCATCGTAAGAATGCCTGTGCATAGAAAGAGTGTACACAATCAGCTTATAAAATAGAGTAGACATCATTAAAGGTATGGCTTTGCAATGCTCGTGCCAATAAGTTGCAGACGTCTTTAGATTAGATGAGATTTAAAGTAAATCCTGATTATCGTATATCGCATATAAACAGTACGCACAAGGTGCTTAACAATAGCAAGCCAGTTTACGCTATTAGCCAAAATTCTGCTTGTTTACATGCAGATAATCCAGGCACAACTTACTATGGAGTTATCTACACTGTTGAAAAGTATTTGCAGCGTACAATTTGGATTGCATAATATATTACTTTCACATTTTTGTTTAACACGTGTGTTATGAAGCTCAAAGCCCTATACTGTATCGGGCCTATAGAGTCGGGACATGTGATAGGCACGAAATAAAGCATCCCTATGAATTGTTACGACATGGGGCCGCAATTAGATTCGAGATTCGATTACTTTTTATTTTGCTTTTGTGATTCACGTAGAATCGCGAGTGGATCCAGGGTTATAGCGGATAGAGGACACGCCGATCAAAATTAGCAGACTCTTAGGTGCACAGTTCAACACATGAACAATTATAAGCCTACCAATCAATCTGAATTGACGTATCAATGCATCGATGCATTCAGAACCCTGTGTTGTGAATGCTGTACAATCACATATCCCAGGATGAGTTACTGCACAATTGGATTTTACGTAGCTCCCAGCATGCTGTGGCCTTTTGTGGAACAGTTTAACACGAATTGGCACGTTCTGTTGACGTGACAACCCTTACTAATTGGCTGTGTCGGGTGATGGCGGGTTTAACGACACGTTTATATATTTACGCGATCTAACCCCCAAAAAACCTGTATCATGGATGTGTGGAACTGCAGATAATATTTGACGAAACGACCACAGTTCTGGTACACATGAGCACACTGCTTCGAGCTGCGGGGTTGTACTGCACCCGAGGAGAGAAGAAAATATGACTCCTGACTGACCTAAACATCATCTTCGGGGATGGCTCGCACATCAGCCATGTAATTGTAAATGTTGTGCATTTACTCTCCAACGTACCGGTGCGCTGTAGTAGTAAACTAATTGGCGCGTTGTTTACGTGACAAACCTTACTGGCTGTGTCGGGTGGTGGAGGGTTACGACACGTTTATACTTACGCGATCTAACCCCAAAAACCTTTATTGTCAATACACTTGAGATATTGGTGGCACGAAAGGACGGCTCGCGCTCGGAACCATGAGCCTCAGTGGAACACACAGAGCCACCCCTTACCAAGCGAGAAGTCTGCTCTCAGCAATGGCACAGACGTGCGGCGTGAAATGCATGCTCAGTCCTCTTCTCCGGATTTGTGGAGCAAGTAGTCACGCAGTCTCTTGGGCAAAGGCAGCGAATCGATCAGGCGCATGCGTTGAGATTTAAACAGGCTTCTGATCGTCATCCTGCACAGGTGGGAGAGCGGACGTGGGTTTTCTGCGGGAGCACAGAGAGCGGAGCATTACCGTCGGCACAGATAAACACCCGGGACGTTTTTTTTTTTATCAGTTCGAAACTCAGGTGCGCGGTGTGCAGTTGCTATCGGCAGATCAATGCAGAGCGGCAGGAAAACACCGAGGCATTCGATGTTCCTCCAAACTGAGAACTCAACGTGTTTGTCAATGCCACTGTGACCTTACAAAGAGAACGTGTATAATGGGCGACATTTCGGGGCAAGAGGGCTTCTTCAAAGCACCTAAAATATCTACATCTGGATATTTAATGTTTTTGGATCGTTATCCGTCGAGCAGCGGTGTAAACAACGGGCATCTGACGGCGTGCGTTGAGTTTTATGAAACTGCATTTGACCATTTCTCAAGTCCACTTAAATGTATTGTAAAGCAGTACATTGTGTGATGCTATACATTGCAATGTATTCCACAACACGTTGTATAATAACTCAACTCAGTACCCATGACGGACGGCTATAGTTTAAGCACGAGTTTGTTGTTGTTTCCACCCCCCGCCCCCCCCCCCCCAAGGCTCAGCACAATCAATTCACTGCGCTCGGCAGATCGAAACATTTGAATCGACGGCGCTTTGTCGCCCGTCAAGGAAAAAAAATACTCTCCCCCAACAACGACGCAGCGACGACGTTCGACCGCTTCGGTCGCTCGCACACTTCCCCCTCCAGGCACGGCCCCCCAATCGATCGGACGCAAGTGCGCGCGCCCCTCTCTTTCCACAGCCCCCCTTTTCCGAAGCCCGCGTATGGAAACACGGCACGTAAATCACCCGCGCCAAGGAGGCGAGCCGCGCCACACACCTGCCATCTCGATGATGGGGCTCCACTCGTGGTAGCTATCCAGTTGCTCCTTGATGCGGGAGCACAAGCGCACGTCGGTCACGAAGTTGAGGAGGACGTCGACGATCGGCCCAGCCCAAGACTCGAGCTCGTCGGAGACCAGCAATTCGCAGAACTGCACACGCGGAACGGCGCGCCGTGGCGTTAGGACCCTTTCGCAGCGACTTACGCCGAAGACGCCACGCGCGCAATCGTTGTTTGTTGTTGTTGCTTTTGTTGTTGTTGTTGTCGGCCTGTGACTTTCCACTGGTGGACAAAGACCTCCGCCATCCTCCTTCACGCCCTTCCCTTGCTGAGCTGCTCTTGTCCACAAGTGAGCTCGTGATGCGTCACGCACCTTGTGCGCTTTCATTTGTTTTTGTTTTAATGACGGCATCGGCGACGTTCTTATTCTTCTCCTTATTTCTTCACTGCTAAACCCATCGCCCTCGTAGATGCCATGCAGCTTTTATTACAGGTGCCAAACATACTGCGGATGGAGCCTGCACTTTAAATCGAGTTTTTATTATATCCAGCACGTTTGCACAGGTACAGCCCTATGCCAATCCACTGCTGGATGAGGGCCTTGTCAACCTGCGCAGTTCATGGAATTTATTTGACTAAAGTTCGTTGCGCTTGTCAGTGCGGGTTGGTGAAGGCGAGGTGGATAGACGGGCAGGGCAAAGTACAGTCCAACAATAGTTTTTTTCTGCGCTGCCCTCTGAAAACCAGCGCATCACCCCATAAATGTTGAATCGTTACACTCGGCGAGAATTGCCTTTGCCACATATTGATGGATGGCAATGTCAGCACGACCTGCTACACTGCAGGATGATGTGGATGCCTTCTCAGTAGGAGCTAAGAGGCTCTATGCCTTCCACGTGTAAGTGCAATTGATCGCTCTGTGTTTGCAGACTCGAAGTTGTGTTTTTTTCCCCAATCTTACTGACCTTGGTGCTGTTTGGCAATACTTTTTGTGTGTGATGTGTTCCATCAGCCACGCTGTATTCTTTGCCTTGGTTGTGCCAGCCTGACGCACAACCAAGTTTCCTTGGTGTCACCAGGTCCCTGATTGAAAATGAGCAATTATTGCCCAATGGGGTTTACCCGTGCCACAATAATCCAAACCAACCGCCGGACTTCTAATCGGACTGGAGAAGCTTTCAATCAACTCCTTTGTGCCGGCCGGATGAGTTGAGAGAAACCAGGGATCAGCTCGGGAGCAGGAGCTAGGCCTATGGATTGTTGCATCGCCTTGCAAAGAGCGGTGATGACTTGGGAAGGCCTTCATCCAGCAGTGGATAAAACATGGATGATTATGATGAAGGTGTTGATGAATCCACTGGCTCTCGTTGGATTAAAACAACTCCAAAGCACAGCACAATGTGTGCAATGCACTCATAACTAAACTGAATATCCTCAAAACACATGCGGGTGTTACAGGCCCTTCTTGTCAATCCCACCGCTGGATGAGGGCATCTCCACGCGGTTCCAAACAATTCTCAGTGCAATGGATTTTTCTGCACCACGCTCTGCACGGCGGTCACACGTGCGAGCGTCACCCAGGGCTCTTCAACCCTGCCGAGGTTGGCGAGACCCCATCCTCGACTGCCCCCCCAACGCGTCCACCCCAAACCGGACACGGACACGTAGACACAAAGACATGCAAAGACAAAGATCCCACTCACAGCCTGAACAGACTGTTGGGGCGAGTGCTGTTAGCGAGTAGCAGCACCTGTGAAGGCCGGCACGGCACACAAGGGGGTGGGTGGCCAGCACCACACCAAACCGCCTTTGTTTCCGCAGCGGCGATGTTTACACAACCGCACCAGGTACTCATCTCGGGTCGCCGGGTTCATAGCGCAGCGCGCTAACCGCTACACTACTGTTCCCCACACGGACACACAAAGATAAAGATCCCCCATATAGCCTTAACAGACTGTAGGGGCAAGTGCTGTTAGCGAGCACCTATGAAGGCGGGAACGGAACACGAGGGGGTGGGTGACCAGCACCACGCCCGACCGCCTTTGTCTCCCCAGTGGCGATGTTTACACATCACACCAGGTACTCATTTGAGGCTGAGTCGACCTAGGGGAGGCCCAGGACCGGTTCAGAAAATCGTCACCGGTGTTGGGCGTGAGCGATAAATCGATCTCGGGTCGCCGGGTTCATAGCGCAGCGCGCTAACCGCTGCACCACCGCTCCCCACACACGGACACGCACAGACACGAGCGCTTCTCCCGCACGACACGCCGCGCGCACTTACGTGCACCACCCTGGGCTGGGCGTTCACCCGAGTGTCGTCCGAATTCCTCCTCTTGGGCGGCACGGGCGGGTGCTTCCCGCCGCCGAAGGGGCATCGGAAGCAGGCCTCCCCGCTGGCGCCGTGCCTCAGCACCAGCTCGAGGGTGCGCAGGTCCTGCAGGGAGAACATGACGGCGGCCGGGAAGGCGGTCGGGTGCGTGGCGACGCACGCGTTCACGTCGGCCCCGTGCGCCAGCAGGAGCCCGACGAGCGAGTGAGCGTGGAGGCGGATGGCGACGAGCAGCGGGTTGATGGGGTCCAGGTTGGGGTCGGCGCCGGACTCGAGGAGCAGCTCGGCGCAGTCGACGTCGGTGGCGGCGACGGCGAAGTAGAGGGCGGTGGTGCGGCGGTCCTCGTAGAAGAACGAGTGGTCGTCCGACAGCTGGAAGTTGACGTCGAAGCCGCTGTTGATGAGGATCTGCAGGACGTCGTAGTGGCCGTTCTTGGCGGCGAGGTGCAGCGGGCTGATGCCGCACCGCTTGATGCGAGCCTTTTTCGTGCCGGGCAGCAGGAGGCAGACCATTCTGTGTGGGTGGTTTGTGGACAAATGGGGAGGGGTGGGGGGTCAAAATTAAAAAAAAGTGTTAAAATATATTTTTTTATTTTACGTATAACGTTAATGCATATTGCGTCTCAAAACTCTGAACACTGCGACGCATATTTTTTACCAAAACGCCGCAGAGAAACAAAACGGGAAAGATCAAGGGTACGGGCATAAACAGAACGCATGACTGTAACATTAAAAGATAGGCATAGCAGTTTGCAAAAAAATTTTCTTGATTTTACGTGAGATTCAATAGAATCGGGTTAAATAGGCCACGAAGCGGCAGCCAAGGAATGGAACACAGTCTCAGAGGTAGTCCGCCGTGGAGACGGAGCTATGATATCAGTGAATGTGCGGGTGCTGGGTGGACTAATTCTCGCGTAGCCAGGATCGTGAGGGGAGGCGGCGGCTTGGGGAGGCCTTCATCCAGCAGTGGATTGACCACGTTTTTTAGGATGATAGGAAGAAATTGCATCTTTTTTTCTTTTTACACACAAGGTGAAATGAAATAAAGTTGCATCGGCTAGGTGAATGCGGTGGTGCCTGTTGGCAAAAGTATTGTGGAGGCACGGAAGCCGTTGTGGGTGGGGGGGGGGGAACCAGTGGTGGTGTATACGAGCTACAACACTGGTCAACAAACAAAAAAATTTTTTTCTGGCCTGGACTTTTGCAGCTGTTTTAGACTAATTTCAGGGTGCTGATTCCAAATCTGATCTCAGATTTGCTCTATCACATCTCATTATTATGCTATCGGCATACCCCATTTTTATTGATTTTACCCGAAATTAACTCTGTCACTTATGATTGCAAGTTGTTGCGAGTCAGTGACTGCTTTAGTGTTAAAATATGGTGCTGTATTTTTAGGATAGTGTGTTTATAATATAATTTTATGTAGATATCCACATTTATTTAATATTTTTCTTCTGCATTTTTATTGAAAATTCAATATTTGATATCTCAAAAACCTGATGTGATAGACAAAAACTGATGCCAGATTTGGAATCAGCACCCCAAAATTACCTTAAAACCGTTGGAATACCTCATGCCAGAAAAAGTGTGTTGACCAGTGCAATCTTTAAAAATGAACCGGTAAGTTTTGATCAGGTTCAGTTTTGATGTCTCCGTGAGTGGCGGCCGGCCCCAATGTCCCCCCCCCCAACCACCACCGACGAGCCGCCACGGTGCGTGGGGGTCTCACTCCTCGTTTCCGTTTGACGCGGCGATGTGCAGGGGCAGCAGGCCCTCCTTGGTGGGCTTGTTCGCGTTGGCGCCCACCGACAACAGAAACTCCACCACGTCCCCGTGGTTGTTCTTCGTCGCCTCGTAGAGGGCCGTCGCTCCGTTCCTCGCTTCCGTGTCGATGTCAGCACCTGCAAGCGGACGTTTCGGAATGTTTTAACCAATTAACCATTTAACTGTCCCGAGACGTCTGCAAGTCGCAGGGTGGGTGGTCCCGTTCACCGCTGAATCTAGGAACGTGCGAGCGGTTCAGTATGTTAATTTTGTTTGGAGAGGCACAGCGCCGTCGTTTTTAAAGACGCTGTACTCACCGCAGAGAACTGTAGCGACACGACCGCACTCTACGATAGCTGGCGCCAAATTGTGCCACGCCCTCCCGCGTGGCCTTGTGGGAGCCTCGGTACCGGTAAAGTTATTTTACTTTAAAAACGGATGATGTACACGTACGTCATCGGAACGGGAAAGGGTTCAATGATCGCATAAATATGTTGACGTTCTTCCTTTGCCGTATCTTTTCGTCAAAATAATTAAACTATATGAATTTTGACAAAGTGTATTTGTAAAAGACATTCTCGAGAAACACAATAATCATTAGTGTCATCGTGGAAAATATAAGTAACCCTGAATGCTGAAACAAGTCCACAGTTCGTTTACGTTAAACCAAAGTTTCTGAGGAAAAGAAAAAAAACACTCGCAGAAGGCCATGTCGTCGATGGGATGACGTGGAGACAGATATGGGAAGGGGGCATATTGTCTGCTTATTTATTTTGAAATTGTGAAAGCGCCTCTTTGGCTGACAAGTTTTACTTTATTCATTTCCAAACAAATAAAAATTAGCAGACCATCAATCACTCTGGGAATATATCTCGCGCCCTATAATTCCTATCCAGTGGAGATTTAACGTACAACGTTTACCATTGCGCGCTCCCCGAATTGTCGGGCCTGCCTCAAAAGAAGGCTCTCCCACAAACACGATGTGTACATGCCCTGCTGGTCGCACTCATTACACACGAAGTGCTTTCTTCAAAAGAACCACAACACCTTGCTGATCTCGTGAAGGCGCATAAACCATCACGCAAACTCCGGTCATCCTCGCGGCAGCGGCTTGTGCCAGCCATCGAAATGAAGACGGCCACCGCATCGCGCGCCGTCTGGAACGCTCTTCCTTCCGATATTAGGAAGCCACTGGAGCTATGCACTTTTTAATCTCCATTGAAAACGAATTTCTTTAGAACTCCTTTTTGTGTTTAAGTTCGTGGTCCTTCCCCGGCACGGTGCAAAATAAGTTCGACATACATAGACACACACGTGCATACATACATACATGGACACACACGTGCATGGATGGATACATACATGGACACACACGTGCATGGATGGATACATACATACGTGCTCGTACCAAGGCTCACGAGGTGTCTCAGGATGGCCAGGTGGCCACATTCGGCCGCGACGAAGTGCGGCGAGACACCGTAATCGTTGGCCACGTTCATCTTGGCCCCGGCGGACATGAGGAGGATCACCATGTCCAGGTTGTTCTTAGAGATTGCCTCGTACAGCGGCGTGTGGCCGTGGTTGCCGCGGAAGTTGACGTTGGCGTTGAACTTGATGAGCAGCGAGGCTGCCTCGATGTTGGCACATTCGCAGGCTGCGGAGGACAACGAGTTGGAGCGTTCACGGCGGGACTACGAACGCAGGTATGTTACAAACAAACAAAAAACTATTTCGATTTAAAGCTTCTTTCGTGACTGCAGGGATTCATCTTCTTGGTTCTTTCGGTAAAGTCACGTAGAATGGAAATAATAAAATAATAGAAATAAAGCATAATAAAATAATTCTCACGACGTTTCGGCCACAACGCAAGCTTTTTATTATTTTATTATTTCCATTCTACGTGATTTTACAGAAATAACCAAGCAGGAGAAACAAAAACACTTTACACGCGTATCTTAGCAGTTTGAACAATGGTACAAATGGATTAAATCCCGCCCTCCTCCATCTCCGCTTCTGTCCACCCGGCAGCGGAACTGGGTATGCAATCGGCAATTTGCGAGTGGCGGGGGGAAGGTGTGGGTACTCCCATCTCTTCCAAGACACCCGGCCAGTGTAGAAGAGTAGGCCAAGATACCATCTAGAGGGGCTGTCCAGAACGCCCTCGAGTGGAGGCCCTTCTGCCAGCAGCGCCATGAGCATGCAACTGCAGTGCTGCGACTTTACCTTCAGATCACGGACTTGACACAGCCGGTCTTTGGATAATGCATATTTTCAAGTTTGAAGTTTGCCTTAGAAAAAAAGCTAAGTGTCATTTGTTTTCTTCTCTGGACCAATGGCGCTCATTTATTTTTCAAATAGCCGTAAAACAGACTTCACCGAAAAGAGCTATCAGTCTCAGTTCAACAAAAAAACATCGATAATATAACATTTTAAAGTCACCTCCTCTCTCAACACATTTTGGCTACCCCCCTAATGACGTCTCTTGACCTTATAGCGACGTTGAGTTTTTTTGTTGGTATTTTTTTTATTTTATTTTAGTATTTTTGTTAATATATTTTTTGTTAGTATTTTTTTGTGAGTGTATTTTTTTATATTTTTTGTCAGTATATTTTGTTGTTGTTTTTTTGTTGTTGTTGGTATTCATCCGTAACATTGAGCAAACAACAAAACGCGCAATTGCTCTCGCGTTGACGCATTCCCTTCTGCTTTCGGCTAACGGCGTCGTGCCCAACAATCCACGCGGTGTCGCTCGCGGCTCGTCTGCGTTCCCAAAGCGCATGGTGCCCTCTAGGGGAGAGTGACCACCATCGACTCAACACCAACAACAGTACCGTAAAAAAATGGGACCTTTTTGCCAGTATTGGCGTTTTCTGGTCTGACACTGCTGAGACGAGGCTCTAAAGAAGGCTGTCTCTGGTGTAGACCAATAGGTTTCAAAGACAATGCCATTGATTATTATAAATGATCATTATCAGAGCGTGTTTTGTTTGCGTGTTCACCACAAGTACGTGTGGTTAATGCAGACACGATTCCTTGCAAAAGGTTTCATATCTGGTGTTTGAACATCTTAACACAACTGTTTTTTGCCATAAAGAGTAAAACCTATTCTTATTTTTTCATACAAACAACCGTATGTCCCTTCCATCAGGACCGAGATCCCATAACGTGAAGCCACGGGCACCAGATCAATAAGACATGAATACAGATTAAACCACAGTCCCGCGGGGCTGGCGAGGGTAATTGATTTTTGGAAATAATTTAAACGTCACACACTTTTAATGTCGCAGAACTATTACGAGCAACCCCGTGGCTTTCGGTTGTAGCACCACAACCTCTCCACGGCACGGCAACTCGTCGGCTACACATGAGCAGACTGCAACGAACGCAAGTAGTACTAATCGCATATCTGCATTTCCAATAAATATGCTAAATTCCTCTTGATATGCAAAATATTTTGTCAAGGCGCTCTTCGCCCTTCCATCCCAGCTTAAATAGTCGCTCCAAGCCTGGGGCGTGTCATTCAGACTCTGTCTTCTCGACAGACCTGTTCTCCACCTGAGGACGGCTGCTTGCGTTGTGGCCGAAACGTCGTGAGAATTATTTTATTATGTTTTATTTTTTTATTTTATTATTGCCATTCTACGTGACTTTACCGAAAGAACCAAGAAGATGAACGCAACGGTGTTCAGCTCGTAACTTGCAGCACGACTGATTGGAAGCATGCCGCTGTGCAAGAGAAGCAAAATTCCTGCCGAGGTGACCGTGATTGGGACTTGAAAACCGCGCAACGCTCTTGAGATGAATCTCAGCGCCACTCTGAGTGTCGTGTGAGGGTGATCGCGTGGGGGTGGGTGGTCACGCCACACGATTCATCACCGCTTCAGTTTGACGATCCGTCGCAATTCGCGGCCGCAATTCGACTCGCAAACCCCTTTTTTCAGGATTTCCACGGAGTAGGCTTTCGCGACCAATATTTATTCATAATTAAGGTTTTTAGGTTAGATCGGGTAAGTATAAATGTTGTGTCGTAACCCTCCACCACCCGACACAGACAATTAGTTAGGGATTTGTCATGTAAACAAAACGCCAATTAGTTACTGCTTCAGCCCACCGGTGTGTTGGAGAGTAAATCCAGTAGTCCGACGTTTCGCTGGTAATTACATCAACCAGCATCATCGGGCGATTTGCCAGAATCGTTTTTTAATTGTAATGCTCTTGCCGTCTGGCTTGCTTATTGATACACATTTGTGTGCGTCGGTAGCCTAAATCCAATGTGAACGTTTATTTATTTATTTATAGTGTGCACTGATCGTAATTAATTGATTCCTAAGTGCACGATTCAATTACAAATGCATCTAATTGAGTCCATGAATGGGTACATGTTACAACATCCCTGCTCGCAGCTGACGGTCCTCAGTTCCAATTATGCAAGCTTTCCAGAGAACAAGATATTCATGTACGCCAGGTAATGGATATGCGTTGCACTTAGTTCAAATTAAATTTAAACGTGCTGGCCTTGCACAAGAAGCGGAATCATCGCGTAGCGGTCACGCAAAATCGGCCTTGAAAACCGCCACGACTTCGTGATCAATGTCCCCTCCCTCCCTCCCTCGACATTCGGAGCGAGTGACCTGGGGCGCGTGTCGCGACATGCGAGCGGATTTGCCTTGGTGCAGTGGCGTCTCCTTGTAGCTCTGGCAAACGTCCGGGGAGGCGCCCATGCCCAGCAGCACCTTCATGCATTCCAGGTTGCAAGTGCCAGATGCCAGCGTCAGCGGAGTCTCGTTGTTACGCGAGCGCAGATTCACCAGCTGCGGGTACTCTGGTTCCAGAAACACGCGCGGTGCAACGTCGCTTATCCGAGCCGCTGGGGCACGGAGGTACAGGCACAACTGTGGAGAGGTCCGAGACGTGAACGGCTACGGCAAAGAACGGGCTACAACGCCACCGTAACACCAATAGGTTGTACGTATGTATGTTGAACTTATTTCAAGCCGTGCGTAGTCAACCGTGCTAATCGGATGTGCCGGGGAAGGGCAACAAACTAAACACAAAAAGCAGTCCTAAAGTTTATCCCACCGATGAAACAAAGGTAACCAATTCCTGCTAGGTGTGGCTGCGTAGTGGTTAGCACTCACCGCCATAAACCCAACAACCCGAGTTCAATTCGCAGCCACTGCTGAGTTGACATCTGCACCTGTCCCGAGCCTGCCACCTTCACCTGCGATTAGCAGTGCACACGTACGTACTGACCCGCACCAACTAGCATGGTGGAGTAGAGTCAAGCAACCCGTGTGACCGACATGGCACGGATACGGCCTCCGTCGACGATAGAGCGTGAGAGCTCCGAGGTCGAGGGTGGGAGGATAGAGGACTGGGTGGTGAAGGGAGTGGGGGGGGGATTGGTGGTGAGCAGGGTGGGAGCGCGTCCATTCAGGCCACACGTACTCTGCAGAAGCAACCGCAGGCAGCGGGGCTTGTTGAGGAAGGCTGCCGCGTGGACCGGGTGGACGGTGTCTGGGCCCTGGACTTTGCTGAGGTCGGTGCCGGTCACGATGATCCTCTGCAGCATCGAGACGTCGTCATTCTCGATGGCCAGCGCCACCGGGTCGGTGCTCCTGCACGCAGACGCGCGATGACAGTTACTGGTAGGAACCTCCTGGTTACACCAGCCCACAGGGGATTATTGTGTCCGTCGTGCATGGAGGGGCTGGGTGGGGAGGGGCTGGGTGGGGAGGGTAGGGAGGAAGGTGCTGAGTGGGGAGGGGAGGGGCTGGGTGGAGAGGGGAGGGGCTGGGTGGGGAGGGTGGGGAGGGGCTGGGTGGGGAGGGTGGGGAGGGGCTGGGTGGGTGGGGAGGGTGGGGCTGGGTGGGAGGTGGGAGGGGTGGGCCCGGGTGGGGAGGGGAGGGTGGGGACGGGCTGGGTGGGGAGGGGCTGGGTGGGGAGGGTAGGGAGGAAGGGGCTGGGTGGGGAGGGGAGGGGCTGGGTGGGGAGGGGAGGGGCTGGGTGGGGAGGGTGGGAGGGCTGGTGGGAGGTGGGGCTAGGTGGTGGGGAGGGTGGGGCTGGGTCGGAGGTGGGAGGGGTGGGGCTGGGTGGGGAGGGGAGGGTGGGGACGGGCTGGGTGGGGAGGGGCTGGGTCGGGAGGGGAGGGTAGGGAGGGGCTGGGTGGGGAGGGTGGGGAGGGGCTGGGTGGGGAGGGTGGGGAGGGGCTGGGTGGGGAGGGTGGGAAGGGGCTGGGTGGGTGGGGAGGGTGGGGCTGGGTGGGGGGTGGGAGGGGTGGGGCTGGGTGGGGAGGGGCTGGGTGGGGAGGGTGGGGAGGGGCTGGGTGGGGAGGGTGGGGCTGGGTGGAGAGGGCTGGTCACCCCTCACAGTCGGGCATATTTGCGGAATACACCACGCCGCCGTTGACCCTGGCCATTGACCGAGCAACCCAACGTTCCTACCAGCTCCCTCCACAGGAATGTGTTAACAGGGGCGCCGTGGCTGTTAAATATTAATTATCATCCTCGCCTGGATTCGATCGCGACCTAGTGCCGGATTATCCTAGGAGCAAAAGTAGCAAATGCTCCGGTCCCCGCACTTACAAGGGCCCCGCGCTAAATGCTTTGAAGCTATAAATTACGGTTCAGTGATTCTGCTCTATTACTATAGTACTATACCGCCTTCGACTTTTATGAACGACTGGGTGTTTAAGGTTAGCGATTTGTCGTATTATCTGTCTGGATAGCAAATTAAAAAATACAATTACTTTACTATGCAAGTAAAAAATATGTGTGTTTTAATATTTACGCGTTGTTTTTTCTTATATTTAGGGCGATCACTCACTGCTGATGCTCCTGAAAGATCTGGCGAGGGAGGGAGCGCCAGTTGCGGGCGCCCTGCCGTGACACGAGCCCCTCTGTCGTCTGCTGCTCGTTCCTCTGGTTGCTCCTACGAGGAAGAGGGGGGGGGGGGGGTGAGAGAGAAATCCACACGCGCGCGAGTCAGTCAGCTGAGCGGCGCTCCCCGTCAGCGATCCTCATGCAAGGGGGCAGCAGCGCCGAGGACAGCAAGAGTGCTGAGGTTGCGCGTTTCTACAGCCCGGTGCATTAGAATTCGACTCTGAGCGATCCCCGATGCTGCGGTGGATTTTTGTTCATTTTATTTCGCAGGGACATGGGGGGCGGGGAAGGCGGTGGTGGTGGTGGTGGTGGCGGTGATTACTGCACCACTGCCCTGTCCCTTGATTGAAATAACTAAGTGAATTAGCTGTGATGCACAACTAAAGTTTGACAAACGGAAAGCGGTGTCTTTTAACGTGCGTGAACCAGCTTTCCGATTTGATTGACGCGCATTTCAAGAATCTTGAAACGCAAAAAGGTAGCGAATTGAAGTTGGCAACAACGGGAAACTCGATGGTCTACAGCGTATTTCGGAGTTTCACAGCTCAGCAAAATGTCTGCGAATCACACCTCTTGCTCTCACACTTTCTTGTTTGTCCGGGTAGACGTAGACTACGGACGCTTGCAATGGAAACACGACCTGTCAGTACGTGACAGATCGACACCAGCGCCTTGTTTGCATCGTCTACGTTTAGAGTTCAGTGTGCCAGCCAACCCCAAAACGGGGTCGCACCTGTCCCCGAGTGAACCTGTGTTTTCAAGTTGCACTGTTGGAGAGTGCTGGAGGGTTTCGGTGGTGTCATTGGGAACTGGAGCTGGGGTTGTTGGCTTGTGTGTATGTAAGTGACTCGTAAGTTAGGCATGGAGAAAAACATACTAGCGGCTAATTATAGTCTTGCAGAATGTAGCGTGCACTCGGTCAGGTGAAGCCGCAGCAAACATCTGATCTGTGCATTCGTGTCGCTGCTTCACAGCCATATCATCAAGGTGCCTTCCATGTGTTCCATGTGTTCGACTTTTACTGTGTATACCACATCACGCGACGGAAACATCGCAGGGTTTTTTTCCCACTCACGTGTTGTCAATATGCCACAAAGTCAGATTTCAAGACCTCTCTAAATACTTTTTGTATTTGCCCAAAAAAGCCTCACCTACATCCAGACCATGTATTTCTCTCTCTCTCTCTCCAGGAAGATTTGGATGTTTCACCAATTATTCATTTTTAAGTTTATTCTTACAGTCGTTAAATCCCAAGAAATTATGACATTTACAAATATCCACCCATGCCGGGTATCATACAAAATGCATCTCTCGACATGCAAAACACAACAATCTAGAGGGAACAACACGTGCATTGAATGTGTGTTGAACTTCTTTCGCACCGTACTTAACCAACCGTGCTAATCAGAGATGATCACCTCATGTCAAACATGAATTAGCAGAGATTTGAAAAGAAATCGGTCATGCTCAATCCACCGATGGATGAACGCCTCCCGGCTGGACGGGGAGGGGGGCGGTGTTTGAGCATACTTCACCACATTGGTCACCACATTGGCTTGACGAAGGGGGTGCAGGCAGGACTGTTTCTAATATCGCCGCCACTGAACATTCGCCGTGGTCAGGAATCGAACTCCATTCTCCGGATTCATGGGGCAGCGCGCTGGCCACTTTGCCACCACTCCACCCCTCCAATGTCGGCCGAGTGAATTTAAAGACAGAAACGGAAAAGACAAATTTCTCGAGGCCGTGTTCTGGCATGTCCAACGCAAGGAATGCAGCTTCTTCAAATGATACAAAAATGTCCATTTAAAATCACGGGCAGGTGTGTTGTCATCGCGCTTTCGTGATGTGACTGTCTAGAGGTATCACAACATACGCGTCACATTGTTGCACAGTCATCGTGATAAACCCTGAAAACAGCTGTAAACTTTTTTTTTATGAACATAGTTTCAAACTCGTGTCTGACACAGCTTGGGTATCGAGAGAGCCGTGTATACATTCAGGGTTGCGTCTTCGACGTTTGGCACGTCTGCAAAAAGCGAAACGTTGAGCCCAAGAATAGCGCACTGCCCTCAAATAGAAAGCCGTGAAACCTCAGAGCGGGTTCTGCACGGTCACCGCGGAGGCGGCGAGCACTGGGAGCAAGGCGTATATGTGAAGGCCGGCTTCAGTTTCACGTTCGGCTGAGAGCTCCTCTCAAACTCGCCCTCAACACGCGCCAATGTCCAGGAATCACAACAGACGAGAGACAACGCCATCAGCCAGGGGAGAGCAGAACACATTTACTCAGGAGCCAATAGGACGCGCAAATAAATACCTCTTCTTAGTTTTTTTCGGTAAAGTCACGTAGGTAAAAATTTAAAATTAATATTAATAAAAGTAAATTAAAAATAAAATAACAAAAAATCACGACGTTTCGGAGGCAACACAAGCTTCCTTCTGCAGGTGGAACCGTCACAGCACGATAGCTCTTACTTGATACAGCTATCGTGCTGACGGTTCCACCTGAAGACGGAAGCTTGTGTTACCTCCGAAACGTCGTGATTTTTATTTTATTTTTATTTAACTTTTATGAATTTCAATTTTTTACCTACGTGACTTTACCGAAAAAACCTAAGAATATGAATCCTTGCAGTCACGAAAGCTTCAAATCTAGAAATAAATACCTCTTGGTGGAGCCACGCATACACACACACCTCGGCGTTACCCAACAATCAGTGGGGGAGAGTTAACATCGACCAAGTAAAGTGTAAAGAGGCCAGGGAAGCGAGTGAGCGCACTAAAATTAGAAGCACCGCTGTTGCCACGGAAAAAATATATTCCCTCTACGTGCCCAATCAGACTCTGCCGGTGGTGGATGGACGCCCTTTGCTGGCCGCTTCGAAGTTGGTGGGTCCCGTGCGGCCGCAACCCGAATGAGATCGAGTTTTGCAACCATGGCCAGGTTCTCCAGTGCTGCCATAGGCGGTGCCACTTGGAAAAAGGCACTGGCACTCCCGACTTGGCAAACTGGGTGGGAACTATATATACATTTGTCCATACCCCAGTTAGGAAGCCAGATTACTTAATTTGCACGGTAAAATGTGTGTAAATTAACACGTGCGTATTACTTTGGACAAAGTGAATAATTGAACATTACTCAATCACACACTCCCCCCCCCCTCTACCACCACCGTGGCCTCGCTCTTGCTGCCCCCTCCCACACCTGCTGCCCCCCGTGCCCCTCTGTGCCCCCCCTATTGCTTACGGCCCACTCCCGCTGTCCCCGCTACCACATTCCCCTTATGGGCCCTCACCTGCTGCCCTCCCTCGTGACCCCCCCCCCCCCCCCCCCCCATATACTGCCACGACCTCTCCCCACCCCCTTGCCAACATCCCCTTGCCACTACCAACCACCCCACGCCCCCCCCCCCCCACCAACCCCCACCACCTGCTGGACACGTCGTTCGCCGCTACGGGGCGATGCGTCGGTGCGGCCGGCGTATGGCTCCTGCCCGTGACGGCGAGCACGGGCGCCGCGCCGGGCTTGTGCGGCGTCGCGCCTCTGCCCGCGAGCTCCTGCAGGCTCTGCTCGATGGCGAGGCAGATCTGCTCGTCCTCGCTCAGGCTGCCGTACAGGGAGTAGTCCTCCTCCACGCACATCCGCTCAGCGCTCTCAAAGTCGGGCGCGCTGCTGTGGCGCTGCAGCCCCGTCGCCATCGCAGGTAGTGGTTTGTGTTTCCTCCTGAAAGGGGGTACGGGGGGAGATGCGAGTGTGGATGTGGTTCACCACGGTTTTTTTATATTACAGGCAGACCTCGCTTAGCGCTTAAGATGCGTTCCTGGAGAAGTGAGCGCTCGTCGAATCGGCGCTAAAGGGGTCGTTATAACCATTGTATACGTGGGGATGCGTTCCCGACAGCGTTAACTTCTGTCGTTTGCGCAATATATAAGGGCTTTATTGGGGTATTGTTCATCGCACTAAATATTACATATGGTAAACATTTAATAAATACAAATTTATTATAACATATACACTGATCGGGTTGACTGAAAAAAACTATTACACCGGTTATGGCTCGGATGCAAATGACCGGTTTCGTTCTGGTTAACCGATTGCCTAACACCCGTGTAATCCGGTGCTAGGCAATCGGCCAATATTATCCAGCAGCACATATCCAAGCAAGCAAACTCTGGACCAGTTACGACATTCGGAATCTCAAAAGAACAGCACCTACAGCAGTGCACACGCCACGAGCAATCACACCGAACAATACACGGTACAGTACCTCAAATTTGCTTTCATTATTTACTTAAATATATTCCTAGCAAAATGCTCCAGATAAACCCTGACCCGATTAATCTTCCTCCGAAATGTTAAGAGAAAATGAAGTTCGACTCGTCGGCGGGACAGCCACCTCCATCCGTGTGTCCGTCTGCGTTCTAAGTCTCTGTTGAGTCTCCGTGTCTCGAGTGGGGTCGTCTCACCGTGTCGTCTGTGCCGAGTGCCGACCTCCCTGCAGAACTTTTGCCACGACAGATGTGCCCCCCCCCCTCCTCTAGCGTCCTCAAAGTGAACTTGGCCCAAGGATCACGATCGGTTTCACTTTTAATAACCCACAGCCACACAAATTTGGCTGTGAACCGGTTAAAACCGATAACTGAATTTTTTTTTTAAATTTCCGTATGCACGGTTCGACGCGAGTTTTCACGCTTTCCATCTGATCGCGTTAGCGTTAATGCACGATCTCTGTCCGTATGTAATCGGGGATGCACATCAACTTTCCTAAAGATTAAGACGAACGTTTGTACGAGGTTGTGTTTCTATTCGGGACTTGGTATCCCATTGGAAACCGACCAGGTTAAATAAGAAGTACCGCCCAAACATTTGCAAACGCAAACCAGAGCAAAGGGAATGTAATGACGCAAACGCACCTTGCTCCAATAGTTACTCGTCGACTTCGTTACTGCTGCTTGAACACTTCCACAGAAAAATACGCATGTTTACAAACGCGACGGAATCCATGCGTATGTATGGGGGGGGGGGGGGGGTTTCTTCCCCCCGGCCCCGACTTGTTTTTAGCTGATGCTACCCACTTCGTTTGCCTCCGAAGCCCAAGCACCGCTCAACATTGAATTTGTATTCGTTATCACGGCTTCGACTGGTTGTTACAAACCCAGTGACGGTTCGCTACGTCGTGGCCGTTCTTGTTGGCTGCGAATTGACACGCGGTGCCCTGTACGCATGCTGTGTTTATACCCTGCACGCTTTATAGCTCATCGGATTCCTCCGCTCTGAGTAAATGTTATGATTCTGAACTCCACGTGCGTATGTGGCCGTGGCAGTGTTGCACGCGTTATCACGACCACGTGAGCGCTGCACGTTGCAAGCGGTGGTGGCGCTACGACTTAAATTAGCAAAAGCAAAAGCGTAGGAACCTCCCCCCCCGCCCGTCTCAGCGCAAGGTGCTCCGGGTTCACGAAACAAACGTGGGCGTGCATCAAAGCTCACCTCGAAATTTAAACGCCAACAATCACGAGCTCATCAACATCGCACGTGCAGCCAATTATTCTCTCGACCCGATTATTGTCTTGCGTCTCTATTGCCTCACCCTCCCCACATCTCCTACCCCTTGTCAACACCTCTTCGGCCACCTCAATAGAGTTTTAGAAACTGCCGAGTTCCCCCATTTCGCCACCACCACCTCTGTGTGCAAGTGCCTTCTTACTCCACGTGTGCCACTCACTCGCTTACACGCGCGCGCGTGACATGTGCACGCGCGCGCGTGACAGTAGCACGCGCGCGCTTGACAGGTGCACGCGCGCGCGTGACAGTAGCACGCGCGCGCGTGACAGGTGCACGCGCGCGCGTGACAGTAGCACGCGCGCGCGTGACAGGTGCACGCGCGCGCGTGACAGGTGCACGCGCGCGCGTGACAGGTGCACGCGTGCGCATACGCGTGGGTTCTCTGCGCGCGCAACGAACGGACGTCACGGCTCGCTGCCGCGTGCGAGCCGCGCGTGAGGTGCCCGCCGTACCTCTGTCTCTCTGTGTCTCTCTCGGGACGTGTCGTCGCGCTCGGAGCGCGCACACAGCGAGCGGGTGAATATGGGGCGCGGGCCTCTGCCACGGAGGACTTTTATAGCGAGAAAGTCGGGTGTGTGTTTACATGCCAACTCCTCCTCTCCTCCACCGCCGCCTCGAAATAGCTGCAGAGCGCATGATCCTCCTGCTCTCCGGAAGAACGTTCCATATACTTCCAGATGTGTTATTTCAGGCCCCAGCAGGTGGAGTTAAACGTCGGACCAAGGAGGCCAGAGTCGGTGGAGTGGCGGAAGCTGGCTGGAACGCATGTACTGTGTATGTATGTTGAACTTCTTTCGCACCGTACATAGGCAACCGTGCTAATTGGAGGTGCGGGGAAGGACAACAAACTAAACACAAAAAAGCAGTTCTAAAGAAATGAGTTTTCAATCTCGATTTAACCGTGCCTATCCCCGGTGGCTTCCTAATAGAGGAGATGTACATGTATACAGTACATTCATTAAATAGGTATGCACACAGAGGACAGCTCCGGACAATGAGCTCAGTTTATAAACATCATGCAGTAATCTCCAGGGCCAAACACAACACACCTCTCACCAGGGAGGCCGTGTGTGCTTGGATGCCCTATGTAGTATGCAGCGATCGAGATGTGGTGCCAATACAGTTTACGAGTAACATTGCTCGTGCTAATATTGTCCCTTTGTCAATCCACTTCGAGACGAAAGCCTCCCTGCGTCGTGTCAGTCGTATGTCCATACTTCACCAAGCGGGTCAGTGCAGGTTGGTGAAGGGAGTAGGGAGCCTCGGTCTGGTTCATGTATCACTCTCAGCCGGTGCTAGCCGTGGTCGGAAATCGAACTCTGGTCTTCAGGTCCATGGCACCGCGCACTAACCACTGCGCCACCGCTCCACCCACAACTAGCAATATCATCATCCTCCTCATCGTCGTCATACCTGTTGAGTAATACTCGTTCCGAGCTTTTCTCTGTGCTGGTATTCGCGAATATTCAGTCATTCATTCAACATTACGGGCACGGGATAGACATTGCGCGGAGAAAACGACAACAACAAAGTCTGTTTATAATCGTCGTCTCCAGGGCCTTACTCTCGCGACCACGAAAATCGTGGTTCAACAGCCACGCGCCCGACGACGCCTCCGGCCGCCCTCGTGTACCCCTCCTCCATTCATCCTCGGCTGACCCCATTCTTGAAATTTCATGGCACGTTCGTTTATTTTTAACCAGGTGCGTGCCCCCCCCTCCACCGCTAACACGATGGCCGTACATCAATTGAAACACGCAGCGCGTGGAAAAGGGCTGCAGGTGGAGGGATAACCGTTGCGATGTTTCCTGGTGGAGTCTAGTTGGCTGAAACGTCGAAATACTGTATTTTTATGTTCCTGTCGGTGAGAGTAAAAAACGTTCAGCGTTTGTTATATTTTACATTTTCATGCGATTCCGTGTACATGCTCACGAGAGTAATTTGAAGCCTTGCGTTGATCGTGGGAATAGAGCAATAAAAAAATACAAAGTAAACACGTGCTCTTAGAAGACAGGGCAATTGTCAACGACGTTGAAAGATAACAGGTAAACCGGCACCTGTTTTCAAAATCGAATCACGATTCCGAAAGTTTGGGACCTGTAATCGATTGCAGTAGAATCTGTATTCCTCATAAGTGCACGAATTTACGCCTGCGAACGTACAAACCACACGGTGGCAGGTTTAAGGGTAAATACTAGTTTTGTAAATAGAATCAGAATCGGCATCTTTATTTATCCCGGAGAAAATACAGGTAAAAGGTGCAGCCCTGCAATTGCATGCTAACACCACTGCGGGCAGAAGGGCCTCCATTAAAGGGATCTACGGAGGGTATTTGGTCTACTCTTCCACATTGACCAGACGTGTTGTATACGTATGCTGAACTTCTTTTACACCGTACGATTCCACCCGTGCTAATCGGAGGTGTTGGGAGAAGTTGGCGTATCCACACATTACCCCACCACATGCAAACCGCCGACCAACTAACTGTGGAGCTCCAATGTATACCAATGGGTGGACAGAAGGGGGTGGATTTAAGAAACTTCCCCCAATGTCCCACTGCTTCAACTGCCCCTCCGGGCGGCGCAATCGAAGCGGCCACCTCGAGGTGGCAAGGCCGGCCCAGTGTGACACCCGTTACACCACCGTGACATATCTCTTAATTTCCAGAGGTGAACACGTGACGTAAAGAGGTGAACACGTGACGTTTATACCGAGACATTTCTATGTGTGCGGCAGTCTTTTACCATTTTGTTTCCTGACTGTGGCCTCGTGATAATACAAGCAATGTTTGTCTATCTTGTTTCAAAATGCAAACTCACCAGACCTCGACTAAACTCTCGCCACCAATTATTTGTTTAAATGCTGTGAGAGGAAAACAAAACTAATTGACAGCTGATTTTAAATCTGTTCCGTTATCAGCTGGTGAGCTGTGGGAGCACATGCGTAATTTTTTAGACACCTCATGCTATTATTAGGAGTAGCACTGTGGTTGTTTTTTTCTACTTGAAACCCTCCTGAATATATTTTTCCAAAGGCCAACCTTCTCAATTGAGTGTGCATCTCAGTGACAAGCCAAGTTATACATCCAGCATTCACGTGGCCATCAAAAACAATACTCAATGTTGCGACAGAGTGAAAACAATAATTCATGTTGGTTTAGTATGTTGACAAATAATACCCGATACAATGTTATGACATTTTTTTTTTTAATCTTAAAGTTTGAAACCCAAATGGTATAGTTGTCAATATGTGAAATATATTGCAGAACCTGTTGTTGAATGCATCTAAGTTTGAAGTAACACGATGTTGGAAATGATATGGACACTCATTAAACGTCTATATTTGTACGATGAAGGTTCGTATTAAAAGCCGAGTTAGGATATCTTACAACGGCAAGAACATTTCAAACGGACTAATATCGTATAAAATGATTTGGTGTTTCTGCGTTGGCAGTGGTGTACAAGCACACAACATAAATAAAAAACGGTACAGACATTACTCGCCACTGATGTCAAGCCGTGGCAAGGACTCGAACTTGGGTTACCGGGTTCATCATGCAGCACGCTGTGCCATTACTGCACGTGGGCTCTGTATGTATATCGTTGTTGTTGCTGCTGCTGCTAACATGTGCTTAAACCGGCAAAGCGTAACCAGCCATAATCGCAAACTAAATGCCTTGCAAGCATCTTGCAACCACGTGGATACACATGCACGAGGGGCCGTCTCCCGTGAGCTCCTCCAGCACGCATCATCCCGTCACTCCATGGCAAGTTCAGCCGTGGGCAACCCAGCTGACCTTGGCAAGCCAAGCAAGCAAATCTGGGCCATGTAAACCAATGCGCAAAAAACACGACGGGAATGGGGGGGGAAGGGTTTGTGTTCTTGTGTCCTTTTGACGACGACCGCGTGTATGCAGTCGACACCCTGAGCATTTGGGGGGACTATCGATGCACCGATTCATCTGTTAAGATCGATTGCTAATCTCGGAGGTAAATGCGTCGAAGTCATGTGAGTGATAACCGATGGTGTTTCCGATTTGTACATTCAGGGATGGGCAAAAAAAATACATGAACACATCTGTAAGACCGATGTTTTTGTTCAGATAAGTCGATGTTTTGACATCGATGTTGACCCTATCTGAACATCAGGGTTTTCGTTTCGATGTTTTTCTGTCGATGTCGATGTCGTGTGTGTGTGTGTGTTTTCACGCTGAAAAAAAGGTAGAATTTTTTTAGGGCTTTGATTTTTTTTGTTCAAAAGGTCCCTCTCTAAACGTTGTTGCTAGGTGTATAAACCGGAAACTACTCTCAAAGTGAACACTTATGTATCGTATACGTGATTGTGCTATTTTCATATTCTTTTTGTTCTATATTTACATTGCACATTTTTTTAATACGAAGTTTATTTGGAGTGAAAAAAATCGAACATCGATGTGCGTGTTCCGATGTTATGGTGAATATCGTCGAGTGTTCGATGTGTCGATGCTCTTCTTCCGATGTGCCAACTCTCATGTCACGGCTGCCGGAGGTCGCTACATTCGTCCCAATGTTGAAAAGAAATCATCGATTCTGAAATCGAATCGTGACTATTCATTGCGTCAGTGCACCCCGTTTACTTAGGGTGAAACTTTTTAAAAAGTCAAGTTCATTTAGACGAGAGAAAACATCTTTCTCCTTAACAGTGACCTTATCCGAAAAAGGCACACTGCCCGACACGTCGGCCTATTTTATATGTTACACGGCCGTGTTCGTACTAAGGCGCATGTGCATTGTATATTCACCACATGTCCTGTGACTCATTTGGAGGTCAGTCATTGAAGTCCGGTCAAAATGAGTGTGCAGAGTGTTACAAGTGCCCGCTGGCATACCGCAAATAAGTCACGAGTGTTAGGGTACAACAGCATCACAAATGCATTTTGGGTGAAGTGGGCACACGGGGAATAAAGCAAGCTGAGCTATGCACCCAGCTGATGGCACAGAGTAGGGAATTGTCTCGACCCCCTTGAGAACGGCAGGAAGGTGTTACAAACTGCGACTGAACGAGTTCAGTTAGGCGCCGTGGTGGTGAGATGTTAACTACCTCGCATGGTATACAAGAGGTCGTGGATTCGATCCCGACCCCGCCCTTGACGTCTGTATATTTGGAGTTGCATGTCTCTCTTCCCGCGGTCGTGTGGAATTTTTCTCCGGGTCCTCCGGTTTTTCCCCTCCACATTTAGAAACATGCGTTTATTATATGTGACTGCTATACATTTCCACGTGATATGCCACATCGTTGAGCTATCATTTGTCGCCAGGTCGCTTCTGACAACAAAAAAAGATGTCAAGCCTAGTGTACCTTAACCTGGTAGAATTTAAATAGTTTTAGTTTGGATTTTAGTTTAGTTGGGATAAGCAAGTCTGGTGCTACTGGCATGCTCTGCTTCTATAGAACTCAGACGCACGCTTTGTCATGCATGCCATGGGCGTCTACATCTGTTTCTACGGATTAATATGATTACATT